GAGTGGGAAAGTGGAAAACCCTTAGAACCCAGGGTGTGACACACACACACACACTGTGTGTCACATACAATATGTGTCATTGACATTGACACAAGCCAGCCCGGTTTCATGGACCCTAACAACCGTTTCGCCCCGTGCAACTGCACGGTGGGAGGCCTTGACGAGCAAGGCTCCGGGTCTTTGGTGGAGTAGCACGATGAGGTATGTATTTCATGATCTTTTAGGGAGTGGCCCTGGGCACTAGGTTGGGTTTGTTGTTCACGTTGAGTCTTTTGGTTGTTGTTGACACCCACCAAAAACATCCATGATGCCATATGATGCCGTTGTTCGGTGCATGCGAAGCCTGCGAGACTTTCAATCTTGAAGCGTGTCCAGGGCTTGTTCCAAACTCGCTTCGGGCTTGCTTTCAACGCCACAGATCACCAAACATGTTTGGCAACATGTTTTCCTCCTCTTGCTGCTGGGTCGTGTGATGGGACCAAGTTCTTCACCCCCCCAATCATTTGTAGAGCCTTGTGCCTTGGAGATCCCTAGATGTGAAGTTCTACCCGGGGCTAGGGCTTGTAGGCAAACGTCGTTCTTAAGACGTTGGAGATGTCCTTCTGAACCAATTCGATCGCCGGAGATGGATCCACCTTGATTGGCGTGTAAAACCATGTAAATCCTTCGTCATGAAAGAGGTTTGTGTTCTTAAATGTTCTCAAGCAACAGCTTGCAATGGTTTTAAGGCGTTTTAAGGATCTTAGGGAACTTCGGCGAGACACTGGGAGCCAGGTGGGCGCGCAGCTCATGCTCAGCGTGCCTGAGCGGTGTCTACGCCTGGTGATCGTCTCAGAAATGCGGATGAGTCCTGCAAGATCGTGTGGATGTTTTTATCCTACGACCCTTTGCGCATGCTTGATTTGTGTGCAACACACCGTCTTAGTGGACATCCTGATGGCAAAGATGGACCCCAAAAGCCCGACACATCCTTTTAAAAGATCTTAATAGCGATGTTCCTTTACCATCCAGGTCTCATTTCCATGGAAGAGTCGCAGGATTTGAACCGTCCGCTGAGGATGAGTTTGAATCCATCGCTGCCTGCGTGAACCAGCCTGGGGAGGGAATGCGGCAGGAGAGGGCCTAGCATGCGTTCGAGATCATTCGAGTCTTTCTCAGAATTGAGATAATTGAGGCGTGCCCCACACAGCAGAAAAGCAGTGGCTACCCAGTGGTCAGCGACTATATCAGTTCAGAGAACGATAGAAACCCGAAGTTTGAACCGCTGGGCTGGCACCGCAGGAGCTGGAGCGTACGCACGAGACGCTTGTGGAGGTGCTCGAGGCCGCAAAGCCTGTTCTGAGTCAACCAGACAGGGGAAGCACATGGGGGGGCATCAAGGCTTCTGCAGGTTTTTGTCCATGAACAATGCCAGCAACTAGTCGGATACTAGACTGTAGCAGCTGTAGCACTTGCAATGAGGGGATTCCCCCCAAAGGAATCTGTGGTCATAGATGGTCATAGATCATTGCCGTCTTCCATTAGGGCAAGCTCAAGCACAGGATTCTTGCCTTCGCATTTGTGGCTCCTCTATCAACATCTATTAACCCATTTACTGTAAGGGGATGATCAGCGGAGAAGGTCGACACTATATATATATATGTAACTACATTCTGTTGATGAGGTTGAAAGGAACACGCATTTGATCAATCGTCATATGATTAGGTTCAAATATCAAGTTGCTTTCCAGCTGAAGGTGGTGCACGGAGTACTGTGAAAGGGCACACTCTTCCTCCCCTTCAAAAATTAAATCGCTGGTTGTTCCCAACAGCAACCACAGTTGTTTTGAACTCTTAGTGCTTGGCGCTTAAAAAGGGCCGCATGGTAGGCCTTTGGGCTCTCCCCTGGGTCAGTTTGGCGCGGAAAGGGGCCCTGGTCACAGGACAAGGGTCACACCCCATGTCTCTCATGTTGATTTGGACGAACAGTATCAATGACGATTCGCCCAGAAACAAGCCGAAAAAAGCACTGGATTTCGATCCCCTGTCCCTATATGTTTAACTACTGTTATGGCGTAGCTTCAGAGTAACACCTGTGCCGTCCGACTCGCACCGACTCACCTGCCTCGACCGGGAGCCACACGCTCCGCTCCACCGGCTCCACCCAGGCACTGGTAGCGTCCATCCGTTGGGATGGCCCAGCCGTGAAGTCGAGATCTTCGAGGTTTTGGAAGATGGAGTTCCATAGCGGGGTAGCAGGAAGTGCGTGAGAAGGTGCGTGTTTTGTTTCTTTTTCTTCCAGCCAGCTCACTAGGAGCTTGGGCATAAACTCTAAGAGCCTGTTTGAGGGTAGGGGTGCCCCTGTCGCATCCACTTACTGGGATGGGTCGAGCTCATCCACTCCCCGGGTGACATGGAACTCCTGGGGCGTCCATCTTACATTTGTGAAAACATTGTTTGCATTATCAGATCTTCAGATTCAGAGATGGACGTATGGACAGGGTTGCATCTTGGCTGGGGATGACTTGAAACTTCAGCCTCACGATAGTACTCCTTGACATTGATTCACGCGCGCGGCGTTTCTCGCCAGGGGAAGGCGTTGAGAGGATCCACCTGCCGGGAAGCTCAGAATTTTTCACAGGGGATCTTCTTCGATGGCGTCCTTGCGTGAAGGGCATGTATTGGTTCAGAACCCTCTCTCGGACAGGCTTGGCCAAGTCCCAGGACGGGACCATCCCAGACCACAGGCCCAAAGCCTTTGGTATATGGACCTTTCTTTGCGTGGGCGTGATGTTTGTATGGTTTTGTTAAGTTGTTTCCCTATATATGTTGGCACTTGCCAGCTTCGTTTTGTCACCAGTTTGGCAGGAATCACCTGGCAGTGTGAAAAGGAGCACTTGAAGATGTGGCGAACACACGACAGGAGCGAGTCTATGTACCCTGGAACGGCCAGTCTGAGGGCCCATTCTTCAAAAACCAAGCCCCCGCCGACTCCCAAGGCGCCGCGGTGGAAGCTCCTTCGCCAAGAGCCGCACACGCTCCCTGGCGCAGGCGCGGTTTCGGGTGGAAGACGTGTTTGGATCTGTGGTTTTGCCGGAGTTGATCGATCCGCGTCTTGCGATGTCTTGCGTGGCTTAAGGAAAACCTCCAAGGAGCAACTCGTGGCTGGAAGCAAAATGATCAAACATGGAGTGTATATAAATATATATTATATACACATCATAAATATACATATAATATTTGTGGTTAGTGTTTTGAACGTTTTTCTTATACTGATACTTGTTAGGAAACGATGTAGAAGGTGTTAGATAGTAGATAGTGGATCAAAATACCACTGTCAGGGGTCGTAAGTAGATACAGTACCCCTTCCTGGGGCCCAGGTCTGTGACGTTCTCGGCTCAACCCCCAAGCTCGCGGTCGCAGCCAAGCACTCTTGTTCAGGAGAAGCTTGAGGCGAAGGACAATGTTCAAACAAGTCGAGGGGCAATGTGTTTGGTCCTCCACCCTCCACCCGCCTGCAAAACATGTTTCATATCGTTTCGTGTTTTGTGTTTTTCTTCTTTTCTGTAAGGGTACAGAAATGGCTAGGCTGGCAATATGTGTCAGGCTGAGGCTGAGGCGGTTCGACGAGTCGCATGGGTCGAACGGACCGAACGTCAACCCGCGATCTACCCACCAACCATTCCTCTATTGCACGATGTTGAAGGTTCCATGGTTCTTCTTGTCAGTGTGAAGCATTGCTCACGCTCTGCTCCAGGAGCGTTTGCGTATGGAGCAGATCTTGCATGAGGACCTGGATTCTCGCAAATACCTGGTGCAGGGTTGATGCGATTTCCATGTGCCAAATGGATTGGCCGTGTTCTGTACATGATGCACTCACAACTCAGATCGTCCTTGATGAGTTGGATGGGAAGACATAGGGGAAATGATCAAAGCAACGGCAGGCTGCCCCAGTGCCGCACATGGGTCAGGACGAGCAAGCTATTGGCCGTTGCGTGCGCTTGGCTGACAGCATGTTGCAGGCAGACGACTAAGGGCATGATGATGAAAAATATCAACCACAACCCACTTCGTCGTGGGCAATGCAAATTATTTTAGAACTCTAAACTCTAGGTGCTGGCCCCACTTCTGCTTGGAAGATGGTTCCAGGCCGCTCTAGCTACTGTTTTTCATCACTTTTGAAGGTTTGAATGATGGTCATCAGGAATCAACCTCCTTTTCAAGGTGAAAGATCTCCCCTTTCTCGTGTTTTCTAGGGGTGCTGGGGTCTCCACCTGAACCCATCAGTTTGCAGCTGGCTTGATGGAAGTGGACGGGAGCAAGCGGTTTTTGATCCACCTGCAATCTGCAGGAAGAACTCTTTCAGGAGGTTGGGTTCTGAGGCTCATAATGATTCATAATTACGTGCAAACCTAGGAACCCTTGAGAATGTTGGTTTGTTGAACGATCGTAAGCGTAGAGCAGTGGCAAATTCTGGATAGAATTACTTCTTCATGTGAATTTGCCAGACCACTGTGTTTAAGCCAACTCGGAACACGGAACATCAACATTTCGATGTCCCGTCCATCAGTGACAGGCCAACCTAGCGCAAAGCGCAACGAGAACAGCACAGGTGCAATGGGTGCAATGGTTGTGTGACTCTGGGAATGTGCCAGGTACCTTGCTGTGAGAGGCAAGATGGCCGTTGGATAGCCACACCGATCAGTCCATGTCGGGCCACTTGATCAGTGCAATCTGGCAAGCACTCCATGCGTTGAAAGCCGGAGATGCAAGCTTGGGGTTCCAGTCACACCTGATCACACCTGTGGTTCTGCTTCCTACCCGGGAAGCATGGATTGTGGTGTAGAAAGCACAGGTCGAAAAAGATTCACAAAGGCCTGTCAGGCTAAAGGTTATCAGGTTGACAAGAACCTGGTTCCTCAAAGTGACCTTTGCATCCCTGGGCCTGAGGTGACAAACAGGCCTGTAAAAAGGCCACTTAGAGACTCCAAAGAGGTCACTTTGAAGAAGCTGGAAGGTGTTTTTTCCTTTTTTTCTACAAGGAAGTCAGGCTAAAAAGCCACGCTTCTGCCCTTGCAGCATTTGGCTCAAGAAAGGCCGAACTCACCAGGAAGACCATGGTGCCCTGGCACGAGTCTGGGAGATCAACTCCACCAGTTTTGCGACGCAACGTGTTCCTTCGGCTCCGCCATCCATAGCCCAAAAACTCCATCCATGTCACCTACATTGGGTGCCTCTATAGGTCAGGTTCGCACCTCGATGTTGAATCGAACAAGTCAATCAAGTCAATCCACCCCCAACCAAAGGGTGTTGGACCTCATGCTCGTCCCAGCGCTGGTCTTCGTGTGCGTTTTGTTTCATGTTTGCGTGTGGCGGCATGTTTGAGGCCACGGGTGGAAGAACAGCCGTCCTGGCGATCTGTGAGGATGCCGGTAGACTTCTCATCCGACCGTCTACCAAGGACCTGGCGACGTCTCCGGGCGAGGGGCATCGCGTCCTGGATGCCGCAGCGGCCGGAGGGGACGGTGGAGGGACCGGACGAAAGCGGAAGTGAGTTCCGGGCCGCGATGGCTTTTTGGCTGAGGAAGTCACGGAGAGGGAGAGGGGTTTACGAATTTGTGTCTTACCTTGGGTGGCACGTATAATCATATATAATCTCGACACCGGATTAATAAACGGGGACCCCCCCCTTCAAGGTCAACAAGGTCTGAGATTGGAGGTATTTGAGGACCACATCCCCCCAATAAAGGTGATGACCTGATGATGGATGATGGTGGATATGATTCTATGTGAACACTGAGGCCTGTGAGAGGGGTACCCTTTGTGAGCTAGAAAACGTTAAGATGTTGATAGAGTTTTAATAAGGGAAAATCACAGAGTTTTGCTAGATATATTTTTAGGGACCAAAGGATATTGGATACTAGCCACAAGAAAGCAAATATATAATTATACATAAATATACCACCAATTATTTGTTCCTTTTTTTTCTGGTGGAGCTGGGATTTATTAATAGGGGGAGGTTTCTGGTAGAGGACAAAATATTATGGTGATGCCAAGGTGGAAATCTAGGTTTTAAAGTAGTTTAGTATTGAGGGGGTCGAGCTGGGATTGATTAATAGGGGGTTAATCCTGTGTCAACATTGGAATCATGTTCTCTTGGTGGCTTGGTGGCTGTGCCATGCTGAGTCGATTTATTCCCACAAGCCACAGCACCCGGCGATTCCGATTCAAAACCAGGATGTGATTCCCAAACTATAGGCGGTAAGGCGGTATAATTTCATGCAGGTCATCAAAAGTGGATGTTCTTTTTCGGACACCGTTGGTTGCCATGTCCGTGTTCGACCACACCGTGTTCGACTCCACGCGCCACGCGCCTCCTCTTCGTTCGCCGTCCGTCCGCGCAGGTGTGGCTCCGGGAAGGCTCGCGGGATGGCAAGCGCGTGCTGGACCGGAAGAACATGCCGCCCGGCCGAACCGCTCACGGATCGGTTCCGGCGGTTCCGGCGGTCGCACGCGGCACGCGGCAACCGGTACCTCGGGAGGCCGTGTGGCAGTCTGCGCCGTGGGGCTCCTACCCTGAGAGAAACTCACTAACACGGAAGAACATGCAAAGTGGACAACAATTGGACAAGCTGCTTGTAAAGGAACATGGTCTTTCAGGGGGCCATGCCATCCACCTCCATCTTGAGATTTTTTGAGAAATTGGGGTGGAGTTTGGAGGGCTTGAGCTACTTTCTGAGGTTATTTTGGAGTTTAGGGCCCAAATGTGTATAGAGATCCCCATGCCTCTTGAGGTAGTTGGACTTTGGGGGAATTGGGAAGCTAAAGACCCAGTGGGCTCCATGAGCTATACCCCACTGACAGTCCCACTGACCATGCAGTGGAAACACATGGGAAAGTATATTAGTTGAAGGATATGTGGAAAGCACCCCAACCATTAATGGGGAAAACAAAGAACATGTTTCAGTCGGCCATCCACACCATCCCGCCGAGATCGAAGCTCGAAACGCAGCCGAACCCTGGAACCCTTCGCCGCCTTCGACTTCACACCTTTTGTCCTGACCCCTTTTTCGGACACGTTCCGCCAAACCGACCGGACACGTTCCGCGCAACGTCGCGTTTGAATCGCCGACCCGCCTCGGGTGCTGTGCGATGCGAGACGCGCCGACGTCCGAGGAACAGCACCTATGGCGGTTCGCTGTCTGCCCGATCGATGGAGAAGATCTCAGCGGCTCGCACGAGCGGGACGACCCGTGGAGTTCACCGTGACCGTCACGGGCGTGAGAAGCTCCTGATCCCAGGAGAAGCCTCATAGGGGTCCAAAGCTGGTTTAGAGCTGGTGCTGAGGTTACCTCATGTTTGTGCATCGACTCCAGCGAATGAGGTCTTGCACCTGTTGAAGAGGACCTCAACTCTCACAAACAAAAACACATGCATGGGCAACCTGCACATGAGATGTCCTTTTCTTGCATTAGGTGGTCGAAATGTTGGAGCACGATAGAGCACGAAGACACCCAAGTGTTCAGATTGTCTTCACCAAGGGGAAGTGCACCCTCAACAACAGTACTGGCTGAGTCAGCTGCTATTGGACTATCCACGACTATCCGGCTATCCTAAGCACATGGATTTTGAGAATGATGCTTCCCTAGAGTCCTATGACCATGCAGAAAAACGTTGTAGTTGTACTTCTATATTGTGCAACTTCCTTTGTCCAAGTGTTCCCTTTTGAACTCCAATTGGTTCAGCTTTGTGCAGCTGGTTGAGAAGGACCAAGTTTTAGCACATCCTGAGTGAAACGTCCTGGACCCTCGACTCGTTGCGGATTTGATGGACCCTGGACTGTCAATTCTCAGCTCTCCAGCTCACTGCTTGTAGAGCTGCCAAAAAAAGTCCATTGCGCAAGCACCGTGCCTCACCCGTTGCTTCTCCGCTTCAGACCCTCCTCTTTCGCCCCAGACTCGACCCATTGCGACTCGACTCGGTGTCTTGACCTCCGCTCCCAAGGACCCGGCGCGGAAGATCGTGGTGGCCAGCGGCGCCTTGACCGCGCGCGAGGTGCGGAGGATCAAGCAGGCCGAAACCCGCGCGCGCCGAACCGAGCGGCGAGTGGCGAGTGGACCTTAGGCGCCTTAGGGTCTGGGTTTTGGGATGTTTTTGGGGTGGGGGAGGACGATGATTTCTTGCGCCTAGGGCGGAGGGACGGTGAAGTCTTGGAGGTTTTTGTTTGGGTTTGGAGTTCTTAAAGGCAACTTTTCGGATGAACCGTGGATGAATTGTTGACTCATCAGTTCTGGCTGTTGTTGCGTCTACCGCTGTGAATGCATGGCTGCATGACCCATTCACGGCAGTTGCATGGCGCTCGAGACGATGGCCATGTCCCAGTTGGCCAAACATTGATTTCAAGAACACTTTCTGACTTGCTGGTGTTGAGTGTTCAGTATGTTTTCTTTTTGAACCCAAGCTTTTGTTTGTCAGATTGTGGGGAATCAATCATGCAAACACATTGAGCAACTCATCACTTGCGCCGGAAAAATATGTCAGTGTGTATAAATAAATACCTGGGCGTCATGAACATGTGCCAAACCCACGGGTTGCCATGCCTGGCAGGAGGAAGCCATGCCTGGCAGTCAGAATCTCACCGCACCGCTGATGCTTGGAGCTTCAGAGCGCTGTCGTTCTTTCCTCCGCATGACCGGACTTCATCCCAAGCGGCTTGAGGTCAAACCGGCAGGCCGAGGTCGAACGGCCGGTCACAGACAGAGACTCCGAGGTCGAGACGAAGACGGAAGTGGCATCTCCAAAAGGGTCGGCCAAAAGCAGTCGGACCCCCATACTCTACCCAGCTGACACGTCGATGCCGACGGCTGACACGTCGGAACCGGTGTCTCCTTCAATGGTTTCCGGAACAGTATGGAACTTTCTTTTGGGATGTTCATTCCCGAGTTATCCGAGTTGGATTCCTGAAGCTTGGAGGATGCAGGGGTTGGCGTGGTTGAGGTCTTACAAGTCTCATGGCTGTGACATGCTACCACCTGTCGCCGAAACGCGCACCGGCGAGAGCGGCACAGGGGTTCCAAATGATGCACATGAGCTAAGCGAACCAAGGACGGTGGATGAGAGGAAGCACCTGGATTTGCTGCAATCCATGGCTGCCAAGGCAAGGGAGCTGGAATTGAATTGAAGGAACGTGAAGGAACCTCAAGCAATTTTTTCTCAAAATAGCGTGAGGAAATCATTCCCACAATCAGTTGTCTGTGGGACTTGAATGCAAAATAGATCCCGCTAGCAGATCTGACCGCGGAATGATCCCAGCAGATCAGGCTGCCCAGCGCTTTCCATCGATGAGCAGCAGGGCTGAATTGGGGATTCAGACGTAGCACATCGTAGCACAGTGATGCATGAACAGCGTGTTTGAGCAAAGCAGGGGCACCCAACTCCTGATCATTATATGTATAATAGGTCTTGGTCCTGGTTGACTTTTTTTGGCTTTGTGGGGCGGTTGACCTTGGGGCCTGGGGCAGGGGGTGTCTTCCAATGCACTTTCAGTCAGTCAGTGGAGAGCCTCCAACAGTAACATCCTCTAATCCAACAGAAAAAGGGATTGGATTTGCATATGTATTAGTTAGTGGCTGGTTTCCGGACTCAGAGGGACCCAGAAGGAGGAGGCATTGGCCCAGGGGCATTGAGGAAAGGAAGTCATCACAAAGAGGACATGCCCTCAGTTAAGCAGATGTTCGGGGAATTCCTGTTATTCACTCGAATTCAGGGGTCGGGCAGTGCCGCTCAGCCGGGGTTATATCTGAATCAATTGCACTCAAAGAGTTCGAACTAGTGCTCTCTCACCCGATCAATCAACAGTGCAATCAGAGCGCAAAACAAACAACAGCAAAACAAATCTTCCATAACACACCCACTTGCCATCATCTACCCCACCGCCCTGAAGCCTCTGTCCTCAAGAACCATGGAGCCTCTCGTCGCGGTGTCTCGGCGCCCCAAGGTGACGTCTTTCGGGGTTTGGACCCCGACCGGGATGGCAAGATCGATCAATCTGAGCTGCGCTACTTCTTCCGCCTGTGTGGGCAGACGGACGTGGTGGCCGCCCCTCGGACGAAAACTGGCGGCCACAAACTGGGCCGGAAGAGTGATCGAGAGATGGCATCCAGTTGGGGTCACACGGTGGGTTTTGAGGTACAAAACCCAAACTCCACGACGGTACCACGGAGTTCAGGTGGTTTTGAGACATCCCTGGACCCCTGACTAATTATGCATGTTCCCTCCAATCACCACCCAAAATTCGTGGTGCTGGTGGAACGTTTTTTGGGGTTTGAAACCGAATGAAGACCAAGCACTCCAGGTGTCTTTGGTGCTCCACGAGCCACACTTGGCGTAAAAACAGGCCAAGTGTCGATTATGTAGACTCTCTTGATTAATCAACCTTCATGTGAAGAGGTTTTTCAGTTCAAATGGTCTACTGAATTGCCTATAAGTCTAACCTAATAGCCTCTAAGACTCTAAGATCTTGACATCTACATGAAAAGTGTCCGTTCTAGATCTTGCTGCTCTTGCTGCTTTTGGCGGCTCCTGGGCCCTTTGGTCAGGATCGCTTTTGGCGTCTCCTGGACCGGGACCGCAGTGAGTTTCTGGACTATGACCTCTTGGTGTCTCGGAAGTGCATTCGTGGGCATATAGGCTCGTGGGCATAAGCTGTCCCAAGCGCTGCCATGCACTGCTGTCCATCGGTGAAACCCCCCGGTCGCCCTCAAACCGGTCCAAACCCATCGCTTCGCTGCTTGAAGGGCTGTTCCTTCCACCCGGCCGTCGGAGCCGACTTGATGCGCTGCGACCTCGGCACAAGGTGAGCTTCATGCGGCCGTTTTTGGTGGCCGCCTACTCTGGCACTGCGAAGCCCAGGCAGCTCCTGCCCCGCCATATTTTTTTGAACGTGTGCTTTGTGCCCACAAGTTGGGGGGGCCTCCAACTCAGTTTTTTGATGTTTTTTTGAATAGCTAGACCACCGACATGGAGGTGTGCCATTGAATTACTCTGAAAAACCACTGGAAGAAGATTGACTCAGGAGCGTTTCGTGCAGCTCGTTTCGCCAGTTCTTTCTGGTTGGTCCAGGCCACAGGACCGCTCCAAAGCGCCGGGCCGCGAGGCCATGCTGAACACAGCAGCTGGGACGTGAGTGGAGAGAAGCAGTGTATTGGGACCTGGGTCTGCCAGGTGATCCAATGGGATTTGGAAGAGTTCTACTTATTAGATTCTATTAGTAGGTCCCTAGGCTGGGGGTCATGTTCATGGGGCAAATGGTATGTACACTTTGTGGAGCAATCATGGTTACGTGGAGTTCACCACCTGTTTGGTCTTCGGAAGCATTAGGTTCAAGGGGCCATGATGATGCCACTTCCGTTCCGTTCGTGCCACCGTTCGATCCATGATGGTCTGGACATGGACCGTTGGAGGAAGAGGATGCCGCTGGTGCAAGGGATGTGGTCCCCAACAGAACTTAGGGAACCAGAAGCGGCTCGAAGTGGATGGCATGGCCCCTTGGAGCAGCATGCCATCCTCTACAAAGCATTTTAGATGGATTCACATCCATGTGTCCGTCCCTCAAGTCTCAGTAGTTTGTCTAGGGTTGTCCACATCTTCTCAAGGCAAAAACACGGCCTGTCGGGCCTCCCTATTTGGGGGTGGGGAGTGTGCAGTCATGTCACTCATCGAGAAAAACATCCATCCTGTGCGGATCAGAACCACTCACAGCCCTTGTTGGCATCAGACTGCTCACTTGCAGAGGGTCCCTTCATCTCATCAAGAGTTGCTTTGAAAAACCGGTGGAGCCCCGCTGGGGAGCCCCTGCTGTCAGTGAAGCCACGCAGAGTTATCCTCTAAGAAGCCCAGGTGAAGGAGGACTTCGAGGAGCTCTTGCTGTCGGTGAAGCAGAAGGCCGGGGGAGATCAGCAGGAAGGCAGCAAAGGTTAAGAACCAATGACCAACAACACCACAGTGTGATGGACTTCAACAATTATGGAGTGCCTACTCATGTTGCATCAAAGGTGGGTGTTTCTTATACACCCTGTCGCCCCCCAAACACACAAAAAAATAAACATCACGCCCGCAAGAATTGAAGCATCATAGACCCCCAGACCCCCTGACCACCTCTCCAGCCCAGCCTCGCCATGCCTCGCCTCGAGCAGGCTCGGGGCAATCTGAAGCCGCGAAGGGCCTTTCGCACCATTGGGCTCCCAGGACGAGATCACATTACCTTGAAAGAGAGACTTGGATGGATGAAAGGATGAAATAAGATCTGTGGCATTAAATAAGCTCAAAGAGCATTTGGATGCATTTGAGCATATTAGTGGGCCCTAAAGTGGGTCCGGGTGGCCTGCGTTGCTGGAAGGCCACAGCCTAATGTGAGGATCTTTGTGCATGTGGCCATGAGGGATTGCTGTACCAGTGATTTGGGAGTTGATTTGGGTGGCGCCGTTTCATTCTCAAACGCACACACACAATCCGAGACACGCTTCTGGATCAATAGCTGCTCGTGGGAGTACTCTGACTTCCTGGTCGTTACCACCATAGTACCCTTGAAGACCTCATGTTAAGATTGAAGTGCATCATGCATAGCGACACATCGCGATGTCCGTTTCTTAGATGCTGCATGGATGGTTTTCCCTGTTATCCAGCTGTGTATGACGATTTCACTCTGTCAAGGGTCCGGAGACCGTCTCATTCTATCCGCCGAACTCCCGCTGTTGGACGCCTGACGCCAAGGACGCGGGCCTTTTTTCGATGCTTCAACCTGGATGGTGAGGAGGCGGACGGGCCCGGCCGCCGAACTCCGCTTCGGAACAACAGCGGGGGTTCTTAAGAGATCAGAAGGTGTGGGTATGCCAGTGGGGCTCCAGAGCTGGGTCAACTCGCCCGAAGTAAACGGAAATATAGAAACATGGAAATTGGATGAAATTTGGCAGTTTGCCGAGAGTATAGAGGTCCTGAACATTGGGTGTTGGTGTTGGCGCCACTTCTCATTTTGCCATGTGTGAGACCTGTGAACACTGAATTAGGCCGCTGTGGTGCTAACGCATCCTCCTCCCCAGCCTGGTATCAACTTGTACCACAGTTCACGAAGAATTGTGCTATAAAGCTAGTCAAGACAGGTTCCTGAGGCCCAAAACTTCTTCACCCCCGTGGCAATGACTGCACCACCTCAAATGTATCTCAATGATGTCAATTAATGTATATATATATATATATATGTACTTCTTCTTTTTGGGTCTTGGTGGGTCACCATGCCCCAAACAAGAACACCTCGAAAGCACGTGACCGGTCTGAACCCCCCTTCCCAACCCACAGCGCTGCCGTCGACACCGGACAGCCACCCGCCGATAGGTGGATGAATTCCACGAGGCGTTAGCGCAGATTGGCAACGGCGAGGTCACACACCAGGACTTCAACGACGTCCCTCGGAGAGAGAGAGTACTTGACTCAGAGACTCGGAGCTTGGAGTTGGGATGCTGCGGACGTAGTGTGGTTTGTTTGTTATGTTTAAGTGTTTTCTCAACGGAGGCTTTGGTTTATAATGGTTTATAGATGGTAGGATCCCCTTAGGTTCGGTGGTTGTCCTATTGGCCCCCTAAGTTCGGACGTGTGGAGAGAGATCGACTTCCTGAAACCTACATGTTTCAAGTGAAGGGGTGCCCACCCCTTCGGAGGCGGTGATGGGGTGATGGATGGGGAGAAAGCTGCGATGGCGGCTGCGATGGCCGTGAGCGTTTGACCAGTGGTGTCAGGAGTGGTTTCTCAGACTTGTCAATTTGCTTGACAGCACCACCGCCCAATTGAGGTGTTGATTGGATGGAAGCATGCATGGAGAAACCGGGTGGATGGTTGACGTCAACCATCCTTTGGGAGCCTCTTTTTGCATAACTTGACGTCACACCATATTTAAATGTGTTTATTCTGGCGGTTGAGCATGTCAAACATATAGGCACGGTTTCAACCCATCCATACGGAGGGGCCACCCAGCCAGCGCAGACACTGAAACGACGGCCCGAGTTTATCGGTCCCGGCGGTTTCGGTGCTTGGTCCCGACAGCCTCAGGCTTTAGAAGATTGCTTTGTTAGGGAGCCTGACTATGGAAGCTTCAGGTCGGCCCCGGGTGGGCGTCTCGCCATGCGCGTTTTTTCGCGCAAAACAACACGGACAGAGATCGAACGTACTGCAGCGGTGCATAGCGGCTTCCTGAGTGACCGATCGGGCACAATGTTCAAACATACTAGTGTCAAAATTTGAGCACTTGATCGTTAAATTAGTTATATAGGATAATTACCATCCAATCACCCTCTACTTTAAGACCTCCACTCGCTGTCATATTGGATGGAGCTACTTTCGAGCGTGCCGCGCCAAGAACTCCTGTCTCGGTAGGATCCCACAGAAGAAACCATTGGTTCGATGTGTTCAAGCTGATGAAGTTGAGGAAGTAGAGGAGCTTCCAAATGGGCCACTTGGAGAGATAAATTCAACTGTGGAACGAGGTTTTGTAGGCATTTGCGCGCCTTCGCATGGATTTGTATGACGTATCACCGACATAGAGAAGACCGACATGTTGCTCAATAGGATTGCAAAGGAGGGGGCTGGAGGGCCAATGGTTACCATTTGTTTGACGCCCAAACGTGCCCCGTTGGACGCTACACAAGCTCATGATTGTTGAATTTTGATAGGTCTTAGGTCAGATAGCACATACCGCCCCCTTGTTCTTTGCCAGTTTTTGTTGCAACCTCTCGGCGCGCGTAGAGAAGTATGTTTCCCTATAGTTACTAATAAGGATCTCAATTGAATCAAAATAACTGATGACACACCCCCATGTAGGCCTGAACTTGAACTGTTGTTCCTAGCCCTGCGAATGTGTCGACCTCGTTGAGACACCAAGAGTGACCGCTTGTTGAGCTCTACTCGGCAAGATGACAACATTTGGATACATTTGGCCTCTCATGATCTCTCATTGTTTTGCCTCACAGAGGTTTCCCAGGATTTGTCCCATGATTTTGTTGACTTTTGTTTGGCGCACAGAGGCGTGAAGCATCAGGTTTCATGTATGTGTGAGACTCGTTCTTGACCTTGAATTCTAGAACTAAACCATCACTTGAAGCACATGAGCAACATAAACCAACGCCCGTTGGTTCCTGTCCTTTAGTTCAGACGACGTCCGAACACATACCCGACGTTCCTCGTATTATATACATGTGTTTTTCATTCGCCTTTTTGGCCAAGACAATGACATGAAACACATTAAAACATATTAAAACACCTATGTTCAATCTCAAGCACCACCTTCACACGGATCGCTCCATGCACACACGCTGTTATGCACCCTCGTTTCTTCTCTGAGGTGGGCCGGTGGAGGACGCCCGGAGGAGACGCTCTTCAGCTTCAAGCGGAACGTGGAGACGAAGCTGTTGAAAGAAATACGTGAAGTGATGCGAGTGTCTTGGATCTGGTTGACGACATTTAGGTGTATAGCTCAAAAAGAAGGGAAACCTTTCGGTAGTACCCCTGGTCTAGAGCCCCTGGAATACATCAGTCTAGGTCACGGATTTCCCTCTTAAAACGCCCACGCCAGATGTTATATAATGTATGTCCCACCCGGGATCCCGAAAGTACTGCGAATTGGAGTGGGGAAATGGTTTTGGAGAAGCGGGGCGTCATGGGGTCAGGCAGCATGATTTGGGTATGTTGAGTGTGTCCTGGATGGAAAGTCGTATATAGTTACTACATTGACTCGGATGATCCTTGAGTGTAGATTCTGACAACTGAATTATACACATGTTCTTCTTTCAGCCACCCAGTCATGCGACTCTGGAAAGCTGTTGATCGATGCCTGTGAATCTTCTGAGCAAAGAATTTCTCCCAAACTAACATCATAGCAACCCCCAGTTTGGTTTGGAAAGTCACTGTTCCTGTTCCTCTACCCGGTGGGGGGTGAGACATTCTTTTGGGGCGACGGGGAAAGTGTTTTTGTTTCGAATGACCTTTAATGAGCGCATTTGCTACATGCACGGCTGTTGCTCTCATGGTAAGCCCAAGTTGTATGCAGGTGATGTTTACATTGTTTACACATTACACCCTTTTGTGCGGCGTAGCCGTAGCCTGATGTTCCACTTCGGGCTTTCACGATTGGGAACCAGGGGCGGTTGATAAATCAAGAGCGACCGAAGACTGAGCATCAATGCACTGAGCTGGTCGCCGCTGATAGCTGCCGGTCATCAGAGGTTCGATGCATCCTCAAGTGACTCTGTGACCGTTCGTAGAGCACAGCCATATGCTCAGACAGTGGGCCCCAAGTGTAGTCTAAATGCTCAGACTCTTAACTTTTATGATGTTCTAAGTAGAAAACTGTACTGTACCATACCGTACCTTCTATGATCTTCTATGTGCATTTGTAGGCAGTATATTAAAGTATAGGCAAGGTGTGTTTCTTGCAAGAACCACTACGCATCTGTGGCCTTTCGTGTCGGCAAACCTGGCTTTTCCCAAGGACATTGGATACAAGGTCCGCATGAGCTATAAGCGACCCCGTGATGCCTTGAGGGGCTTAGATGTGGAGAAGGCGGCCTGTGTGGTGGCTGTCGGGGGGGATCGGGTGATGTTCCTGAACTGTGTGAATCCTCTTTCTGGGAAAGTGGTTTTTTCGCGATTCCTGGAGCAAATCCAAGTTTCAGCTGTCAGATGCTGTCAGCACTGCTGTCAGCACTGCTGTCAACCGCTTCCACAGGGAGGAAAGGGGGTAGTAAACTCGGGCAGAGACATCACGAAGCCTATACCATACATGTGGCGATTCGAAGCAGCTTCACCTGATGGCCGGGTATCGCGAACTTCACCTTATGGCGGGTTAAATATAACCCCGGGATTGCAAGACTGAAGAGGAGCTTCCTTTACTTCGGTGCGTCACAAGGAAATATCGTCTATTTGGACTTCTAGGGAAAATTATGGCCATGCATTTCATACCAGTACTGTGCTGAGGGAGTTTGTTTGTGTTTTTTGTTCTTTGGGTGGTGAATCATTTTGTTATGCTTTCATATGGCTTCTCACCGACTCCTACTACGCTTCGATCAGGTCCAAGTACGACCTCCATGTAGGGAGCAGAGATGGTCAGAGACATTCATTGCATGACCTAAATAAGACGTCAATGCATCTGCCACTCCGGTGCCTCGTGAAAACCAAAAAAGAACCGGGCAAACCACAGGAAGCCACTGGACATTTCCAGACCGGGACCGCCTTTCTCCCCGGGCGGCTCTGTCTCCATCCGCAGGATGGCGTCATCCGCCGGGCAGAGATGCGAGACTTCTTCCGCGGCTTCAACAAGTGGTTTCGACCGCAAGGAGAGCGGAGGAGAGCTCCGGCGGAGCGATGAGTTGGACGCCGAGTCGGATGGCACTGGGGTCAACTTTCGGGTAAAGGGCCGGTGGGTGACCGAGGTGGAGGGAATGGCGCATGATGAAGGTATCACCAGGGCATCACCGGTATGTTAGAGTGGAACCAGTGGAATAAGCAGAGTGGTGCAGTTTGTGTGTTACTCCTCTGCCGAGCAGGTGAGGCGTTGAGAACTGAGCAGGTCACCTTTGAGTGGAGCCAGCGGATCCGCCATCTCCCAGTGACAGTGCTTTGCTACAGCAACTTCCGATCGGCCTGTTGCAAGAGAAGAAATGGTGACCTATACGTTACACCTAGCGTCAGTGGATCACGTGCAAAAGCTGGGGATTGGTTCCCGCACGTTCCCCCACAGGTCACAAGTGGTCACCGGGTCGTGCTTTCCCAGGGAAACTGAAGGGGGTCAGGTTAGAAGTAAAACGTTTTTGCACATATATATATATATATGTTTACCAACCGGAAGCGCACCAACCACAACATGGCCTGGTAGGCTGCCCTTACCTGCGTGGAGCAAGCTTCAGAAATTCCATTGGGGGCATAGAAGATGCGGATCCATCAATACAGATCAATACCCCTCAAGGCTGGCCAATTGTTGGAGCATATAATACCCAGACACTCCATGTATGCCACAAAAATGCCTACATTGACCCCCAAAACCACCCCAATGTAGGCATATATGGCATACATGGAGTGTTTGGGATATAAAATAATTACAAAATCATAATGTTTTTATTGTCGGGGCCCCGCGTCAACCTAAGTGGTGACAGAGTAGATCATAGTGTTCCCCACTGGAACTGGATCAGGAACTGGAAGCCCCCCTCCCCCCCACAACAACAAAGAATACCAACAACATGTTTTTCCTTTTATCAGAGGAATTGGAATCGCAACTATATAGATCTGGAAGTAGAACTGGAACTGGGCCTCCTCCCCCACCATACAAAACGACAACTAGAACTGGCAATAGAACTGGATCTGGAACTGGATCTAGAACTGGCACTGGTTCTGGAACTGGATCTCCTCCCCCCCACATAGGAATTGAAATGACAACTAGAACTTGCACTAGAACTGGAAGTGGTCTGGAACTGGAACTGATCCCCCCCGGCACACCTGCCAGCTCTTTGACAATGGATCTGGAACTGGAACAGTTCCAACCACTTGGGGCACACTCTGAGTAGATGGCGCACTCCCCAAGTTCGGTGGTTTATCCTGGCCCCGATCACCGATCTTAGATATCTAAAGGTTTGCGCCATCTACTCGTGAACCACTCTAAACCAGGGGTCCCCTTGTTCGACTTCTTCGGAGGCCCCGGACCTCGCCAGTGGACCTCACGACCAAGCAAGGTCCGAAGCCTTTGCCGACCAAGTCTTTGATCTCTTGGACCCAGAGCGCACCGGCAAGGCGAGGGTGGCGAGGGTGGACGAGGGTGCCGATGAGGTGGCTCGAGGTGGTGGGGTGGATGAAAACCACGTTTGGGTTTCAAACTGGTCGAGTTGGGTTTCAAACCCGAGTCGGGTGGTGTTGGTGATGAGCACTTTGTCACAAACCGGCATGAAAACATTTGCTTCACACGAACAAGGATTAACAAGGTGGTGGATGATGGCTTTGTTTGTAATCCAAGGCAGCGGATTTCATGAGACTGTTGACTGATTTTTGTTGCTGAGATTTGATTCAAGATCTCCTGGGATACGTAGATGGGGGTCAATGCAGGTCAGGTGATATAAGTGAGCATGCATGGCCACCACATGATTCTTTTTGAGGCAAATCCCTCCAACAAATAGTTGTTGGACACCAACCCCAAAACATTGGGCAGATGATTCTCCTGCTTTGCTTCTCTTGGACCTCCAACACAGTCCGTCAGAAATGCCAAACATTTATGCAGCTTCAGTTTCCGTGGTGAAGCTGAAGCCCTTTTTTGTGCGTTAGCTCAACACCCAGAGAATTCCATGTTGCATTGCTTTGTCCAATTGTGTTTTCCCTACCTTCACAAAAACTGGTCGCTCCCAATCATCCAACCCTCCAGTCCGAAACCGTCATCCCCCGACCAGGTCGACGAAAAATGGACCCAACGGTCGCGATCCCCCGGACCTTTCGGGCCTGTTCGGGCAAACCAACAGAGGTATCCAGTGACCTGAACTAGGACCCGTCATCTACCAAACTAGGATAGTCTAGTTCGAATTCTTCAACCTCTGGAAGGCGGACTGGATCCGTTGGGGGCAGTTCCTAGCGGTCGAAGTCAGGTGGACTTTGGGGAGTTCCTGGCGCACTTCGACGAGGTCCTCACGCCCGCGCACCGCCAGGCGGAACGCGCCCCTTGGATCGAGCGGGTGGCTTCCCCGAGGTGTTCAAAGGGTGAAACCGTCGGTGTTCGGTGCGCCGTGCTTTGACCTTGGAACGGTGGTGAGGAGGTTGGGCTAGTGTTTCTGTGGCCCATGTGGGTGAGGTTGAAACTGGTGAAGGCAGGACGCTTTGGGACAAAATCCACGAACTTTGTATTAGACACATTTATGAACTAACGCTCCACTGTGCAAGCTCCTCAGCTTACAAACGAGTGATTTCTGGCACAAGAAGGGCGCCTAAGTCGATTATAATAGGCACGATCGGCTAGCTGGAGCCTTTGGGACTGCATATCGATTGATTTCGTTTGTCCCAGGACTTTGCCGGTCGAATCGCGCATTGGCTTTGCCAGGAGTAGCAGGCTTGCCCAGTGGCTAATTGACGGAGCATTGTTCAGGCGAATAGCCAAACATGGGATGTTGTGCTTTGCCTACTCCGTTCGCACTAGTTGAGATGGGTCGACCGCCAACAAACCTGCCAACCACCCACCCATGATGTGCCTTGTCACTGGGCCGATGTGAACGTCCATGATCTCCACGTCTTCTCTTCGCACGGCCCCGTGGCCGGCGGCCGGTTTGACCCACGCACCAAGGCACCGGTCATTGGCTTGAAGGACCTTGAAAGGCAGGGGCAAGAACCGGTGGTAGGGAGGAATCCAATCAAATCAAGCTGTTGGCATGGGAAAAGGTCCAGGGCAGCTTTGGATCGAATCCACTGCCAGACCCTGTACGCTGTGGACACCCTCCTCCATTGATCTTTGCTTGTGGAAAAAGAGAAGGTACAACAATAGGCCAAGGGGTTGAGTGGTTGTGAAAGGGGTTGACTGTTGACTTATTGGTGGCACAGTCAAGGGGGAGAAGGCTTGACGACCGTCATGTTGACTCGTCCACCAGACCGGCACCGTCCCACCGCCAGGTCCAGGCAAGTCGCCACGGTGGTGAACGCCATTGGGCATCGGATGCTGACCAAGTACAAGCTCCTTGGTGTTTTCCCCACAGACCGGCTGTTTTTAGCCGGCGCCGTTTGCATGATTTTTTTGCATCAAACCAGGCGTGGGGTTGTGTGACACTTGTGATGTAGAGCTGACAAAGCAGCAAAACATCTCACAAACGAATCGAAAACCCAACACGCCAATAAACACGTCCAACATGTTCCTTTTTGCCAAGAACGGTGGCGACTGAACGAGCCCAGGAATGCCCGTCAAGCGTTCCGTGATTTGGACATGGACAAGGATGGAAAGGTTTGCCGGCATCTCGGCCACGATCACGGCGGGTCAAGACCGGAAAGACTGCTACAACGATTGAGGTTAATGTCAATTCCTGGCTTAAAAGAACTCATCATTCTCTCAGAAGGGAATGAAAGGCCCTTCAGTCTCACATGGTTTTCAGAGTGCTGGTAAGCCTCGGTCGACCATGAGGCCCGGTGGCCCCATGTATTCCCCTGAAGAAAGTGGCTTTGCTGTTTATTCGTCTTGAAATTCAGCACTCACGGTTTTGGCCTGAGGCAAGAGCTGCGCTTTTTCGTGAAGCGTCTTGGGCTGAAGAAAACTGACTCTGTGCCAGGGAAGCGCGCGAGAAAATGAGGCGTCAACTTCGACTTGACAACATCAGTTTTGGGAGAAGGTTTGCTTCGCTTCGCTCAGCTCGACCCCTCCCACCTTCCCAACCTCTGCAGTTCTGGGCAGCTCAGGAAGATGGGCCTCCCGGTCGAAGCGGCGGACGTGCTGTTTGAAGCCTTGTCCCCCACCGACTTCGGAGGCAGCCAACCGGTCGTGTCACGGGGGTACGAGCGCGGGCGTACCCGCGCGCGGGGGATGGAGGGCGAGGGGTCCTGGGAGGGCGTCGGCAGATGTGGAAAGGCCAAGAGAGATGGTGCCAAGTGTTTAGACCGTAAAGCTTCCCCACAAACTCACCCAGAGGGCCTTTTGTTTGAATCAGGTTGCTATCCTCATCTAACCTCCAAACTTTAAAATATTTGAACATAGTTCTGACATGTTAGGACCTACAGGCATTAGTTACTAGTTGTTTTCAGATGGTTTATGTTTTGCGATGTCAAGCCAGGAGGCTTTCATGTTTGGATCTTGTTTCTGCATGAATGCATGCGTAACATGCGAAACGCAATCTGCTTTTGTGCATGACAAGCACGCCACGGCTTGCTCGGCTTGGGGAGGCCTAATTGAGCAGGAGACCTTTGTCAGCTTGTTCCTGGATTTGCGAGGCGACCTCGCCTCGGCGCAAGGGAAGCAGCTGGAAGAAACACCATATGCGCCCCATAGGGTATCTCAATGTATGTAAGCAAACATGACATCCATGGGAGTTTTTTGGGGGGGTCAAGATCTTTCGAACGCCCAGTTTCCCGCAGTTTCCAGATGAACTCTTGGCAACGCAACAAATCGTGTCGAGTGAGTCCATGTATTTTCACGTTTTTTAACGATGTTTTCTGGTTGCTCGACGATGGATCATGGATCATCAATTCTTCGGAGAGAAACAAAACAGCGACCTAGAACTGTGCGTCGAAGTGTTTCGTTGTGCCGGACTTGCCTACGTCCCTCGGCATCCAATCCCAAGCGCACCGCAGGAGTGCATAATTCCAGATCACACGACTGTTGAATTATGAATTCTCCTTCACCGCCTGAAGACATTATTCCGATATATTCTGATGCCAGCACTTGGGTGTTTGAAGTGTTTGTTCTTCAAGAGTGAACCCCTACTAATCCCTATATGATAATACCACATACATCCACATATAATACCGGTTCCTTTTTTCTTTCAATGTGACCTGCAGTATAATCCGGTTCCTTCTTCCCGTTCAGAATCGTCGACCGCCCGCGCGCCCGCTTGCTACAGGCGATCTGTCCAGTATGAGCCGTACCACCCTGAAGTTGCCCAAGATCCCATGAGGGGGCCGACCGATCCCTCCTTGATCCCGGCGGTTCGTGGCCTGGAGACATGCTGTGGTAGACCTGACGGGCCAATGATAGAGGGAAGAGCGTATTAAGAGGAACGAACGGAGGTGTTTTGGTCAATGAAAAGAAAGTCTTTGGTGTGTGTGTTTTGTTTTTTTACCATTGAGATTAATTGATGGTCACAAAAGTGTTTTGTTGTTGTTGCGTGGCTTCTTGCACTTGTTCAATCAGCAAAAACTTCGGGAAGGATTGCGTGAACAGCATTGGCAAAATCAGGGTGAACATGTGAACATTCGGACATCGGGCGCTTCATTCATGTACGCGCTTGAACCTACACTCCTTGAATCTCCTTGAACTAAGCATGGTTACGTGGAGTTCTCACCACTTGTTTGGCATTCGGCTTTTCATGGTGGATCCTTTCGAGGCGCCATCCATGTCACCCTGATGAGTTCGGAGTGTGGGTTCGGAGTGCTCCAAGTTGACCCGGTTGGCTTTCAAGCAACTCTAGCTGCATGGGCCAGCCCCAACAAGGGCACTATGAGGTACTGAGATGCCAAACAGGTCCTGGATGCAGAACACGGTATACCGGTTCGATGTTTACATGGACGGTGTACCATCGGGCCATGTGCTTTGACAAGAGCATTCTCAAGATAGGCAGGCCAGGCACCAGAACATCAGGCCAGGCACCAAGACATGGTAGATTCAGAGTTCCTGCGGTTTTTGCTACGTTGACGCTGGTGGCACATGAAACAGAGTGTGCTACCAGCCACATCACGTGGTAACACCCAAGGTGTGCCGCCGATGGCCAGTCATTGGGTCATGTTGGTATCAAAGTCCACGGGCCTCCCACTGTAAAGGTGATTTTCCGTCAGGTGTTAGATGTTGGTCTCCCAGCTACGCGGTTCTCGTTTCTTTTTCTCCTGAGAAAGATCGAAGAGAGCTGTTTTGCACAAGTCGTTGTTTTTTAATGGTTCTTTCTTTGCAGAGTCAGTTGCAGAACGGTAGGGTCGGGTCAGCAACGGATGGTAAAGGCCAGGATTTGCTTGTGATGGCAAAGGCTGATTCACTTTGAATTGATCCGCCTATAACAATCCGAATGGGTTGCAGATCTCATCCGTGCGAGATGAAGTACATAATACTATTTATTAGAGTATGTATGTTTCTAATTTATATAATTGTATTTCATGTGTTTTCTCATGTACTGTACTGCAATGATACCCCCGGGATTCACAGTTTATCCCCCTGCACGGACTTTGAGGCTGCGCTCTATTCCTGACTGTGGGTGTTTCAGTCTTTTTGTAACAGTATACAGTATACTGACAAAGAAGCTTACCAACATATACACATGCAAATTTCCATTTCCTTAGTCACTAGAACCTCCTACACCTCAACACTCCCTAGTTGATGACAGGGACTATGCGAAGTGGCATTTTTCCAACCAGGATTGTTTTCTATTTAGTGATTTGTGTGTTGTTAAGGTGAGCATGTGAAACTTCACTTGATGTGCACAAAACACCGCAAATCACACTAAGTCACTAAGCTATGTTTGATGTGCTAAAGCCGAGGTAAACTGCAATATGTATATACAATGAAAGTAGGATATAGTAGGATTAGGAAAAAAAACAACCAACAGACAAACCGTATTCTTAAACTCTTGGAAGGCCACACCCTCTAGTTCAAACACCACAAGTTCTTGGGCAAAATCACACAACATATATTCTCAGACTCTTCGAGTGAGCCCCCATCCCAGAATCAACCTCAGGACGGGGGATGGATCTTGTGAAAGTGAAAGGAGCAAGTTCTGTGAAGAGTCAACCGGTGTTTGTCCCTGGGAATTCTGACCTAATCGGTGCCATCGACACGGGAACCTCTTTTAGGCGCTACAAACAGCCGCGCTGGACCTTGTCGTCCGACCTTGGCACTGACGAACAGAGTCAAGGGGTGACATCATCGCCAGCGCTTTCACTTGAATCCAAGTGATCGGCGGCAACGAACTGCCACTAGGACATCAACCGCCCAATGGGGTTCCAAAGGAGGACTCAAAGAGGAAGGCGGCTGAGTGAGAAAATGGCTGCAGATGTGAGTTCATTCATGTTCAATCCACTATCTAAGTCTACTGTAATGACCATGGACTTTACTTGGCTCAATTCTGAAATTGATGAACATACTGGATCATACTGGATCTTTGGGGAAGCCTTGCGTGAAGAATTCAGACGTCACTTTCCACTGGCAGGGTGGAAAAGATCTCACAAACATGTAGAAACATGCTTTTCTTAGTGAAAGTTGGGTACGGAAAGATGTTTCAAGCGACGTTCCCTTGCCGTTTCAGCACTTGGAGCTCTTCCGGCCTAAAGAGTTGCAGACAGTTCCGGAGTTGCAGACTTTCCGCCAGTTCCTGCTTGGGTGTCAATACGCAGAATACGCTGGAAAACCATTCTTCAGATAGAGAAGCTTCAAAACCCTTTGGGTTCTGATGGGTTGGGCTGATGAATCCTGAAAAGCAAGAGACCTTATATATATATATAAACCAATGTATTTTTTGCAGGTACCGTACCTTCCTCCCTGCTTCAACATCCGACCCACGGAGGGTCGGATCCCACGCTCCAGGAGCTCTACCTGCGAATAGCAGCCCGGTACTCAACGACGGACTCGCACGACGAGACTGGGGGACAAACTGGGCTTCTGGCCTACCTCAGTTTCGGTTCGGTGGTTAGGGTGGGTGCCAGGGGGGTCTAACCACCTTCTGAGGATATGGTTGGAGCCCTAGGGTTCCATCAATTCCGGGCACTGCCCTGACAAGGCTGACTTGTCAGATTCATGATACGGACTGGGGAGAATCGTGGCTTTTGTACGAGCCTTGCACATTCATGTCTTTGGATGAGCTTTCAACACTGTTGCTTCTCCCAAACCATCTCGTGGCTTGTTGTGCCTCATCCTCTAATTTGATATCTTTCGGAAGCTGGAAGAACCTAGGTTTGACATCCCAAGACCTTCAGGGAAGTTGTCCATTTGGACCCTTACGGTCCTTCACAGGGAACATGGTTTGGACATCAAATGGCTTTTAGGAGTGATTTGGCAATTTAACTTGGACTTTTACTTTGGTTATTTAATGGTGTTCACTGTTGTTGTTCATCTCCCCCAAGTGAATTTGGTTTAAATCTGGTAGGTCAATCCAAGAATTCCACGGGGCACATGGTGGGGCAGAAGACCCTGCCTTCACGCCAGGAGGGCAGCTCCAAAAGCACCAAGAAGTTGTGCCTTGCCAGCACATGTTGGCACATGCCTTGCCTGGAAGTACACCCTGGAAGAGACCCACATGACACCTAAAAACCACGCCTGGTTCGCAGAAATAAATCGCCTTCCAAAGGTCCATGCCATCAGGTTCCATGTTGATCTTCTCGGGTGCAGATAGTGGCCAAGAAGAACTACCAGGTCGTACCAACACTTTTGTAGCTGGACTTGAGGCGATGTCCAGCCGACTCTCACGTTGAAGTTGAAGTCCGATTCAACTCACTTGAGGTGTTTTTATAGTTATAGTTACAGTCAATAATTATGCAGTATATACATTACATATTGGAACTGCATTGTGTTTTTCATTTTGGGGTGCTGTTGAATTTGAGCTGACCCCTTGGGTCATTGGAAAAAGGTCCGCGAACTAAGGGGACGTGCCCAACCAGTGACCCAACCGCAACCGACCATGACCGGTCCGAGAGAAACAGCGAACGAAGAGAGTTGGGGTCCGCACGAGAGTTGAGGAACGCGGAAGCACCGTTTGATGAAGCTTCCCTGTCGTTTTCTCGTCTTACAGAAGCATAGAAGCCAAAGGCATTACAACAAAAAAGCCATGGCGCACCCTTGTGATCTGTACCGCTGTACCAGGAGAATTTGGGCTGTTGATGGCTGTTGAAGTTGATTTTGCATTGGGGTCTAGAAAGAGGCTTGCATTTCAGTTTTCTTGTGAGTCTTACCTTTGTAAAGCTCCTGGAAGATATCGACAAGACTTGAGTCAAGTTTTTTTTAAGTTTCTTTCGTATCCTTACTGTAGTTGTTTTTGGGCCATCGCCGCATGAGGTTTCATCTGGGTGATGTTGTGAGTTGACAAGGAATTCCTTGGTGGAGCTGGATTGAATTTGGTCGATGATGTGAGCACTTTCACACCTGACTCCTGCTCAGCTGGTGGATCGCCAAACACGCGAAACACCTGGCAGAATCCCATCTCACTCACCTGGGAATGGGTGTTCTTAAAACACCCCGAAACCCCGGCCATGGCACCACTGGAGAGGTGAGGTGTTTCTCCAGTTGCTCCACCTTCACCAATTTCTGTTCTGAGGTTTGTGGTGACCGCGCAGCTCGCCGATGAGCCTGGCAAGGCACAACCGATGAGCCTGGCCGGGATGCAACAAACGGCAGGTATATCATGTTCGCTTTGATAGACACACATGGAAGGCATGTCTCATGGACGTTCTCATAGTTCATCATAGTTCACCTTCCTCGGTTTTGGGCCGAGGTTGGTGGGGTCGGCACGTGGAGTGAAATAGGTCTAGAAATGTCTAGAATTAGATGCGTAGGGGCGTTTTCAGGTGGTCAGGTGCTGAAACGCCAGATCTTCATGCCCAGTTCCTCGGTGTTTCCAGTGGTCCATTTGTCCCGGTGAGATCTCGCCAGGTGCTGGTGGAGCCTTCCGCTGAGCGATTGGTGAAGGTGGGCCGTGTGGGGGTGTGAGTCATGACATGTCAGGACCAACACCAGTGCCCAAAGATCCCCAAAGATGCTAATTACCTAGTTGAACTAAAGCTTCATGATGGCTGATTGTGTGGACGATGCGGCAGTAACATGCATCGAGTACAGAGGTCTTCAGCCAGACCTACCAGGACTTGCTCAGTGCGGACCTTTGATGGGAAACGAAGCTTTCTTTGGTTTTGCTTTGAGTTTTTGTTTGTCTCCAGACTTGCGCTTTCAGTGTGCCATTCAGGTGGCCCCGGCCTTGCTTACCTGGGGTGTTTCCTTGAACTCGTGTGTGTCAAGCGTGAGAGTTTCTTCTCTTTAGCAGCGGCAGAGACCTGAGGCCTAGCCGACGCGGTTCCGCAGCTTGTTTCAGCCAACTCTGGCTCGTTTGTGTGTGTTTTTTCATTTTTTCACAGGTGTTTATCTTTCTTCCCACTCTGAGGGCGCTGAAACAGGGTCTGACACATGAATAATCTGAATCTGAGTCAATCAACAAACTGAAGCACATTTTGGAAGAGGGCACCAGTTTGTGGCCGGAGCATGCCGGAGCTGGTTTGCAACGAGTCATCACTTAAACCGCGCTGTGAGATCACCCAATTTGTGGCCCCCAAATGTCACATCACATCCGCTTGAGCTGGTCATTCGAATCGCCCTTCAGGAGATTCAGTCGGCATCTCACGTCCGTTCCGAGTTGCTGCATGTCGGCGATGGGCGTCCGGTGCGGCCAGGCCCAATCCTTGTGGCCATACCGGCCCAATAGTGGCGGCCAGAGTGTGCGGAGACTCCTGGGAACACACAGGCGCGGGAAGGATAGACTCGGATAGACCCAGTTGCAGCCTCTAATTGACTATGTTGCTGTCAACGGCCCTTGGCTGCTTTGGATTTGTGAATTTTCCCATGTGGCATGCGGAGTGATTCCTTGCAGAGTGCAGCGAGAAGCTTCTCCAACACACGACGTGTCTATACATGGTATATACCTGGACTCTCCCTGAGCCCTTTATTTTAGTGCCGTTGTTTTGGACCTTTTTTTTTAGTCTTTTTTTGCAAAAAAAGGTACAGGTATCAAAAAAAGGATCAACCACACTCTTCTGTTCAATGCTACTATAGCTCCCAACTGATAAGAACACAAATGCATCACTGTTCATTTTGTAGCGTCTGAATGCACTTGCCGGGTCATGCCAGCAAATTGGATGCAAATTGGAGTGCCATCCACAGTCCTGCAAATACTGAAACAAATGGACACTGCAACATTGTATCCTTGGTAGTATCATCATGTGGATCAGCGCGCACTCTTCTCAACAAACACGAAATGGCACTTAATCAAGTACCTTTCAATCGTTCGAATTGACTGCGAAGTTGCATGAACATTGCGGCTCAGCCTCGACTGCTTTCCGACGAAATCTTCGTCCATTTCGCAGGAGGACACAGCTGGAGATAAAATTCTTTGCATGCCAAGGTCAAGACAAATCTGATGTTCGGTATAAAAGTGATGCCAGTAGTGCAAACTGGGTTCTAGATGAAACCTGGATAGGCCTCTTGAGTGAGCCTCCTTGGCCAATTTGCTGTAGCACTGGCAGAACACAAGGCTGCACTCACCCATCTTCTTTACAACATCGGCCTTGGGCCACACTCCATTCCTATACATGAAGTGGAAAAACTGGATGCCTGCATCGCTGGCTTCATGGATCAGCTTCCAGAAAGGTCCGTGCCAAGGCTGGAGTGGTGAATGCATTGGACCGGGGCCCTGCCTTCCCACATCTGGATTTGTGACAATCCCACTCGAAAGCATGTGACGGAGCCACCTGCACATGAGCATAAGGTCACTGCCTTTGAACCTCCCACTGGGGTAGGAGTCCACAGTAGGAACATGTAGCAACCCCTTGGTGAACATCTTGATGTGGGCCACTTGCTTCCCACTGTACTCCTTGCGGACGAAATGATCAAAGTCTTGATACGCCCGTTCCAAAAAGCTGTCCACCTTTTTTGATGGTCCTGGCCAGTAACCAAGCTCTCCAAGTAGGATTATGCTGCTTGAGACAAAGTGACCACCAATCGACTGCTTGAAAATGTGGAAGGGGTCTTTGCGGTAGAAGCTTTCTGGATGGTACATTCGCCCAGGGATATCCAGCAAGGGACTTGGATTTGTCCAAGGAGGTGTCAGTGCGATTGTCTGTGCATAGTTGGGAAAGCGACCTGTATCTTCCCACGGAATTCCGCTTGTCCCTGCCAGGCACTCAAAACAGATTCCCTTCTCCCTTCCCATCGTGTTGAAGGCTCTGTTGAAGTGGCCACATTTTGCTAAAGCTGGTGCATCTCCTTTCATGCCACAACATGCAAAGTACCAGGTCTGGTCATGATGTTGGACACCATTGACCATCAGGTCACAGCATTCAGAGGACAACTGTTCCAGAAGCTTCTCATAGACTTCTTTGTTCTTCCCGGAGTATGCTTTCTTCGGTTGTATTGTCCATAGGAATCTGGTCTTGTGTGTATCTCCCTTGTGGTTGTGCATTTGCGCATCGGACATCATCTCTGAAACAATCTGGTCAGAGTGAGAGCCGGCAGCCGCATAGCTCGCATTGAACCTGTCTGCTGTCTCCACACCCCACACACACTGGGCCGAGATCACAAGTACTGCAGTTTTCCTGAGTCCGGTGCCTTCGTCCATATGCAGGAAAAATGGTATCACTCGATCCAAATTGCCAGCATGCATCTCGAAGACCTTGTGGTCCGGCCAGCACTTGTGAAGGTTCTCCCAGAATGTGTTGAGGAGAACCTGTGAGTTGACATCGGTCCAGTGGAAACCGCCTAGCAGAAACTTTGACTGGTGGTCTAGGAGGTAGTTCATCCAGCTGTGCAGGCTCAGGTACGGATATTCAACTCCTCCAACCACCAAGAACCGAGGCTTCAATGGTAAGGTCAATTTGTACTTTCGGATGAGGACATGCAGATCACGTTCTGCATTCTTGATGCATTTGACATTTCCGAGACGCCTCAAGGCATCTGAACCTAAAACATCACCACATTCTTTGAGAGCACTCTGCGCGAATCTCTTGCAGCGGCTTGCTGGGGCCTAGGCTGAGCCAGCAATCTGGAAAAACACGCCTCTATTATGCAAACACCTTAAGATCCTGACCCCATCAGCAAGGGATAGGGCCAGCTCCTTCAGCATAAATCCCGGTTTGTTTTGACCTGGCAATTTTGTACAAAAACACCTCACCTGGCTTTGATGTCTTGCATCAACAAGATTCATCAGTGCCATTGTATCTTACTTATACAAACACACAGTGCCATAGTGTATTTGTTCAACTGTACAGGACGGTTTTTCTCATCTCTTGGCGTGTCAGGCTCACCCCGAACACTCGAAATCAAGCACTCGAAAGCTGGAACCTCTGCCTTTGAAACATCCCACAAACACAATGTATAAGCTGCATGTTAAAAGAACAAACCAAACCAACATTGGATATTTATATATAATCACTTGGACAGGCAAGGCTCCATCTATCTTTCTGCACCCCTATCAAAAAGAATGCTTCCAAGGCGGCAACCCAGAGACTTTAGATTGCAACACTGAAGAACAAATGCCATAACCTTGGAGCAACCACCATTAAGCTGGATTGCGAAGCCAAGGATGCAAAACTGCAAACCCCACTGGATTGAGGGCTCTCGAGTTCCCTTCTGCAAAAGAAATCTGTGGAAAATAATCATATACACCTCTAAGCTGCCGAAGCCTTACATCGCTTGACAGGATAAATCAGCAAACTGAGCCCACCATGTGCAAACAGCCTTCAGTTTGACACTGATCAATGACACCATTTAAACTGTGCTTGGCAGAACCCGGCACCTCCGTGTCAAAACAAACCAACTGTTTGGAGAAGGTGTGCACAATCTGCAACATGTGATAAGGCCATGGTCTGATTGGGTTCGCAAAATGCCAAGCTTTGTGAGATCTTCTGCCTCCAACACTACTTATTCTTCCTACCCCCAGACTTGGCAGCCGCTTTCTTTGCAGCTACTCGCTTGGGTGCTGGAGCATCACCCTCTGGCCGTGCCTTTGCTTTGGCCTTTGCTTTGACCTTAGCAGCTGCCTTTGCCTTCGGCATCGGTATGCTCTTGGAACGCATCTCCAAGGTCAGAGCCTCCTGGGCCCTTAGCCAAATTGTGAGTGCACTGGCAACATAAAACAACACAAAAACAACTCAGCAGAGCAAAAAGCACAAATCGCGGAATCTTTGCATTGCACAGCAAATGAAACATTAGTCCTTTGGGAATCTGAGCATTGCACGTTTTCATGCATTTCTTGTACAAGCACATAAGATCTGTCTCTTGCCTGCGCAAAACAATGGGCTATAGACTATATATATACAGTATCTATATTTGTTTTTTTTGGTGTCGCACAGTAAAACCAAATTGCACCAAAGGAACTCTGCGCTGTAGCCCTCTACAGCCCCTGAGCTGAAGATAGAGTTGATATCACTGTGGCTGCCATCCAAGTTCTTGATAAGGTCATCGATTTTCGCAATCATCCTTTCATGAAACACAGGAAGAAAACATAAGAAACCACTGCAACCTGCAGAAGCTTAGAAAAGGCAGCAAACAAAGGAACCCACAAGCACTGAAGAACAAGTGGCGAAACGTGCATCTGCTGGCGAAGGTTGTCTGGAATATTGTCATACTTTGCCTTCAACTCCTTGTTTTAGCAGAGTACGTGATGGTTTACAATCCCTGAGGGTGCTAAGAGGCTCCATGCACACATGTGCAAAGAACTGAACCATGTGACACAATTCACGGAGTAGCATGTATACAACCCAGGTTCTGCCAACTTTGATGACCTCTTTGTAATTCCTTCCAAGTATTGAACGATGACCGAGGAAGCTGGCTGATTTTTCTGGACCTCAGGCAGCACTGCAGGAGTTGTCCTCGGCGCTGGTGCTGAACCTGATTGTCCTGGCACAACCAAGCACATCTTGATAGTTACAAAACAGTTAATGGTCACATCATGCCACAAACCTTGAAAGAAGTCAATCAAGCAACAACAGAGTGGTAGATCCTGAAATGGCTCTGGCATCTCTTGCATCCAACTGCATGGGGGCTGATGTGTCAAGGATGGTGTCGATAGCATCAGCCTCATATTCATATTCAGCACGTTCATGATGAGCACGCGATTGGATCTTGGTGTACTCGGCTGACAAGTCCTCTTCGAACCAGTAGGTCATTTTCGATTCATATTTGTCCCACCTTACCCACTTGAAGTGAAACTCCCACACAGAACTTGGCATCAAAGAGTTGATTGAAAAACGCATCCCGAATGAATGCACACCATGTGCAAGCAAAGCTGCTTTGTATGCCCATCATGACGTTCACAGTACTCCTTGATGGCCTTGATTCTGGGCCTTGGTCACAACCCAATCCTTTTTCCAATATTATCATTCTGTCAGTCAAAGCTACCACAGCCAGGATTCAACAACAACCTCACCTCCAGTGAACAAAACTTTATAAAGTATATTACATCCATCCCAAAAGACTACATTAAGCAACTATTTGTTGCTTAAGGTTTTGCTGCCCAAGAACTCTTTGAGCTTCAGGACATCCCGCATAGTGTCTTCACTCGCGAACTGGGCCTTGACCTTAAAGGCCACTTCCTCCTCCCGCTTGAGAGTCACCGTGACAGCGCGGACAAATTTCTCCTCCCACAGCACTGACTAAACACGCATCAGTCTTTTCCTATATGCATATATATATATATTTATACAAATTGCATTCCCAATGAAACCGCTTTTGGTCTCCTTATCGAATCCGGTATCCTTGAAGATCTGGATGAGACGTTTACGACTGACATCTCCCTTCGCCCACTCAGCAGCAATCTCCTTGGGCACGATGAGGTTCCTGACACAACCATCAAGGGGTTTTGCATTAATGCCATAATAAAATACCAGCTCAACAATATATCGATCAATCTTTGCTGACAGAAATCATTCAAACAAGTTTTCACACCTGAAGTCCAAGGGTCCCGTTAGCACGAGGTTTGATCATTCGGTCAAGTCGTTTGCGGACAGCATCATCAGATGGGTGTCCCTCTTGAAGTACCTCGTCATGGAAGTCCTTGGGATGAATGCCAGGAGATGCAGGTATGGTATCTTGCATACTGAAGGCCTCCAGTCGATTCGTGATTTCCTCCACTCGACCCTTCAACGAGAGATTCTCGTATCTCAGCCGATGCAGTTCCTCTCGCATGCAATCTGTGACATCCGGTGCACTCCCAGAGCCTCCTTCGTGGGTAGGTTCCTGTCCAAGAAAGTTCAAAACTAACACAGATTCAGAATCAGAACAGAAAGCTGAATGGCACTGACCAGAAAGAAACACATTTTACCTGGCCTCAACTGCTTCAAAATTAAGCTTCATAGGATCAACCAGGCCACCATCTGAGGTCTTACGCCTCAATTTGGCTATCTTGCCCGGTGTCGTAGTGGACTGATGAGGAGAGGCATTCACGCCACCAGACTGTGCCTTGAGCTGCTCGAGTTCCTGCATCAGGCTGATTGATTCGATCGAGTTATAAAGTCCCTTGAATCTGTCCTTGATTGATCTTGATAGGGATGACTGCTTGTGGTAAAAATCAACAATTAACAGAAAAAAAACTATGACAACCTTACATCGTTTCGTATTGCTCTCCTCCAGTTCTTTTCTCATAGCATCCAAGTCTTCTGTTTGTTCCAGCTTGACACTCTGGTTAGCCAAGACCCTCTGACCATACAGCAAAGTATCCGTGCTTTTGGATTGAGATGCCAGTCTCTCAGGAGGGACTAGCTCAGACATGGGTCGCGGCACGAAGTTGAAGTCAGTCCTCCTATACAAACTCTGTCCCTGAAGGCTAGCTAAAAAGGAAACATCACAGGAACGCATGACCTCAAACATCTTCAGAGCGAACACGCTGGTAGGTATCGTACAATAAGCAAAATGTCTCCTCACAAATTTGACAGTCTTTTTGTCGCTCGGATCAGTGTCAAAACACTATACCAAGCTGCCTTTGCGCAAACTGAATTGACTATTCCAGGCCACAAAAAGTGGATCAGCAGCTCAATTTCAGACACGGCCTGCTGAACGCACATGCGGTCTGGGAGGTGGAACCAGAATCCTATACACAACATAGGTGAAATGTGGTCCCCGCTCTGGGGAAGCTGTTTCCCCTCCTGGCTTATCATTCCGACACCCTGGACAATTCTTGAATTTGCTAATCATTGCACTTTCTACCAAGGCAGCAGCAAAGGAGGATTCACTAACAAAAATTACTTTCATCCCTTGCCACCGCTCCACTGTGTCATGCAAATATCCATACCTAGGGTGAGACCAACGGTGCACAGGGTTCAATGTGATCCCAATCTTGTATACAGCCGGGTGCTTGCTAAAAATGCATTGGATTTGTTTTTCAGCATGGACAAGGCACGCGCTAGCTGTTGCTCTCGGCGATTTGCAAAGCTCAAAGCTAACTCGACCTCCACAGCTAGACGTTTCCTGCAAACTTGGCAAAATCTCCAGCTGAAGCCTGGGCAATTCCTGAATCTGCGCTGGCAAGGATGATAGCCAGACTTGGGTGGGCCAGTCTTGGAGAATGTCGCCGCAAGCTGAAATTCTGGGTCTCTGGCATAAGGGCAACAACGGAATTCCCCTATCAGACTTGGATGGTTGGGATGAAACACTGTCCCCTTCGTCCAGCACTGGCGGATCCTCATCTGTGTCCCAAAGTATTGAAGCTAGGCATCGCAAACGCTTTGTCATGGCTGGAATAAAATCATGGTAGTATAGTCATATTGAACAATATTCAAAAACAATGACACACAATGACATGATCTGTGAATCTCAACCACAACAGTCACCCATTGACCCGGCAGTGCATTGAACCTTATGCACGTGCACCTGTATGAAGGCGCCTCAACAAAAGAATCCATAACAAAAGGAAAATTATTGTCGATTGTGGTATATATACCCCATCACACACCTAAGCTGACAATTCCATTCTGGTTTTGTGTCACACACACACATGTCGTACATGAGAAGCAAGGTTTGAGGAACACAAGAACTCACAATCATCCAACAAACACTTGAAGGAAGACGCAGGTTACATACTCTTTTCCATGCAATGCCACAGGAAAGCTGCATATGACATGTGACTAGTGCCACATATGAATTAGAGATGAATTTGTCAGGCCACCGTCCTCTCATATATATATATATATAGCCCCACTGCATGTGCAGTGTAACCTCCTGTTTTTTAAAAAAAGGCACAGGGCCTCGGACTAGTCCCGGACGCCCGGGAAAATCCGCCTTTTGGACGGCAAAATCCGCCCTTTGGACGGGAAAAAAAGTTTGGGAGGTGTTCTGGATGCAAAAAAAGGCACAGCCCTCTCCGGACGGCTTGACGGACGGATTGTCGGACGGTTGGCCGAACGGCTGGACGGACGGCTGGACGGATGGCTGGACAGGTTCCCATAGTAGGATGGTGCCTCTCCCCCAAATGTATATTTAAGAATAATGAAGTGGAGTGCTTTGGAATGGCGTTGATAAAGCAGGCCCAAAAAGATTAAAGAAGTTCCTGTCTTTGATGGTCCAGTACTGGTTTTGACACTCGGTGACAGGTCAGGGTAAAAGGTGGATACAAACCTACAATTGGGCTTGTGTTTGTCGTCCCTCGATTAATTGGTGTCAGACATATATATATATACAAACCTTGTGCAGGTGTGGTCCCTGCATGGTAGTCCCCGTTGGGATCCGCTTCAGGGGTTGCAACAATAGACACCTATCGATGTGTGACAGTGCCTAAGTTCCCTTTCTATTGTGCTTTTGGGTTTGGTCAAACACTTGTATAGAATTAATTAGGTGTTCTCAATCCCATTTTTGGGGTGTTCAGATCAACACATGATATTATATATATATATGAACCTCCAGGAAGAACTGATAAACTCTATACATGCAGTCTTTTTGTGTTATATAAGATCTCTTGAAGTTGGTGTTTTTCAAAAGCCCCGTGTTTCAGTTTCAGATGATTCTGAAAAGAACAATTTCCAGGGAAATTGCCCTCAAAACCATTGGTGGCCCAACAACCTTCCATCAATTGTGGAACTTCAGCAGTGTGACTTACTGCTACAAAAATTTGGGAAGCACCTCCCTCCATGGTGCAGGTATGCGCAGGAGTTTGCTCGCCCTCAGGTAGTGTACAATCGACCGGGCTCCCGCATCCTCCCACATGTCACTCCACGGAAGGTCCATGTACATTTTGATCAAGTCCGCTGTCTCGTCAACCTGTTGGAGCAGACAGACCTGCTGGTTTTGTGAGCCTTCGCTCACCCCATCCCCGTGTTCATGTAACCAAACACAATCGGACCATGCACTTACACCCAAGTCACCAAAGACCAATGTGTGTTTTCAACCTTCTTTTTGAGGGGGGCAGTATAAAAGGTATATATATATACACAAGCTTTTGTTCAATATGTATATTATAGTACTCACTGAATCCATATACATAAAGGTTTCGGCTTAGCAGCTTGTGGCAATTCGTCCCTTGTTTCCCTCAGGCACTTCTCTCGCATTTTCCACACCTTTCCTGCAAAGGCCCATGGGTAAATCCTCAGCAAACTGCCAACAAAGTCAAGAACCATTCACATCATTCGAGCACAAAAAGATGCGTGCACGCGCACAAACAAAGGTGGTTAAGGCCCAACCCAGTGTCTGAGTACTTTTGAGGTTCTTGTTTCCCTTCCATCGGGATCTTCCATCTCGACTCTTGTATCTGTCTGTTGTTTGCACCTCACCTCTGAGCTTGTCCCTTGCAAGACGTCCCAAATCAAAATCCACAAGCCACGCAGTATTCGACCAAAGCAAAGTTCGCTTGGCCGTTTGATGGCCAAGGGCTCGCATCCAAAATGATTGTCGAAAGAACTTAGCACGAGCAGCTGTAATGAGAATGCATCACCAATACTACGTGATCCAACTATAGATCGATATGAAAAGAGTGCATGAAACAAGTTAAGCTGGGACAAGGTACTCTCATTTGTAGTGCCTGCATGAGGTCTTGAAACTCGACAAACCGGTCATGCCTCATGATAAGGGAGCTGCTTGGCTGCTCTAGGAGCCACACACCACGCATGGCCAAAATGACCATCACAATCAGAACTGTCCTGAAGCGCCGATTGCCAAGGCCAACTCCCCCTTTGTTGGTGCAAGGTGTGATAGTCCTTCACATCTATATATATATATATACTGTATAAGTGTCACCATGGACAAATCCCCCTCCAACAAAACAAAGGTCCTTGACACCATCTTGTTTGCTGCTTCTACTGTTTGGTACCCCTGCCAGCCCATTGGGAGGATCCAGGATCGGTGGGTAGATCCTCTTGAGGTCGACACCCAGCTGGAACAGCATACACCGAGGCAGGCAAATACTTCCTCATATGTCCCCTCCAGGATTGTCATGACGGCTAACCTTACCCATCGCAAGAATCGGGCAGCAAGACAGACACATACCAAAGGAAGACTCAAGTGCAAATGAAAACAACACTCAAATTAAAACAAAGAAACACAAATCCAGGCTCTTCATTGATGTCAAACACTCTACGGTTCTCATGATACCCAATGTCCATCGCAGCGCACTTCTTCCCATGAGCCCGCCCCAAACGTGAGATCCGCGCCACGCCGGCAAACAGATCGACCATATCCCATTGGCCTCCCTGAAATTCAAAAGGTTCAAGCCAACTAATCAGGAGCACGATCGTGATCAGCACCTGAGAGCAAGGTACCCACCACCATGCATCTCCAAAGCCACAAGCCCTGATTGAAGTCTTTTAGCTTAGACCACTTCTCCAACTTCAAGCTACCAAGGAACCTTTGGGCATCGCAAGGCAAACATGTTGCGGAGTACTGTGTCAATTGAAGCCGGCATTGCTATATAAGCTCTATATAGTGCTATAAAGCTTTGCACGTGAGGTACCGAACTCTACACTCCTAGCTCCCCAGCTTGAATCAACCCAAGCAGGTATAGGGTGCATGAGTGCATGAGTCACACATGTCCAATCTTGTCCATGTGTGTGTGTTGCATTCAAAACTCCTGCACAGTATGTGTCCAGTTCCTAGCTCAACCAGTTAAGTTAAGCAAAGCCAGTAGTGCCATCATCTCGTCGGAGATCATACCGAGCACTGAATGCAAGTGCAGCCTCGGTCGACAACAAGGTCCATCTGGGTTAAGGTCTTAATGAAAGCTATATATAAGCTTAATTGTTTGCATGTGGTTCGTGCATCGATCCGGTATTCCGAAGAAGCTGCACCAAATGAACTCTTTTTCACTCAAAACCAGTGCTCACCCCTGACCGGCTTTCGAATTGACTGTGGCAAATGCCACAACTTGATTTCATTTGTTCACGGCCACTGGAAACATGACCTAGCTAAGAACAACTTCCTTCTAGCAGGAAAGAAAGTTCCAACTGCTTCACCGCCTTCACCTGCCTGAATTCACATGAAGACTTCAACACATTGAAAAACATGGTGGGCCCTAACTGACTCACAGTAGACCAATGGCGGCCAAGCAGTCGCAAAGGAGACATATCACATTTTGGGAATCCAAAAGTCTCAAATTGATGCAGCAGCGACATCCAGCAGTGCAGAAACTTTACACTGCTCCGCTGGCATTTGATGGCTGCTCAGCCAATCGCCTGCGGGCTTTGGCTTGCAACTCAGCCTTTTGCCGGGAAAACGCATTGCGAATGTTCTCCTGGAGGTAATCACCAGAGGCACTATCCAGCATCCGTGCCTGAGCTTCAAATTTTCACAGACACATGAACACATGCAAAAACAACAGTTTGAATTTTCGACACCTTCTACCCCTACAGAATTGCAACAAAAGCACGATTGAATAGGCAACCTCTAGGTGCTCTTTCATGTTGGCTCCCGGTACAGCAACATAGAAGACCTGATACCAAGTGTCCCCCAAAGCTTTTATTATATATATAGGCATAATATTCAACAATCCCTATAACTGCCCTGCCTGACTCTGTCCACTCTTGGATGTTTTGCTGGCTACTTTCAATCCGGCTGCTGGTCTGGTCCAATATGGCACAACTGTGGAGTGTTGGAACTTCTGAACTGGGAACCTGTCTCCCTCCTTTTGCTTTTTGCTCCTGGGAGGTGTGGTTTCCTCATCCTCCTTGGCAGGCCTCTTGCGCGATGCTCGCTTAGGGGCTGGTTCCTCACCTTCATTCTTGGAAGCCTTCCTGCGTGCTGCTTTTGTGGGTGCTGGTTTGGCTGGTTCATCTTGCTTTGTTTCTTTGCTTGATGCCCTTGGCGCTCGCTTTCTCTTTGGCTTCTCCTCCTCATCCTTTGCTGTGTTGCCTTTCCTCTTGCGGCTGGCCTTTTCTGGGGCTGGCTCAGGATCCTCATTTGATTTGCCTGACTTCTTTGGGCGGCCACGGCGACCATTTCGATTGCCTTTGTTTTGATTTTTGCTTTCTGCCAAGGCATCTTGCTGTGAACGCGTAAAAACAGGGCTCTCAGCTGGCTCGGGGGTGGGTGGAGCTGAAGCTTGCTTCTTACTTGGCTGCTCATCCTGGGGCTCATGGTCTTTGGGGTTGGGCTCACGGGTTTGCTCGCTTGCTGGAGGTGTTTGGTTCAATTCATCGCTAGGTTTTGCTGAAGATCCTGAACCTGGGGCTGTCAAGGTCTGGGCAGGGATCTCATTCTGGCCAAGTGCGTCCTAGGCCCAATTCAAAAGCACAACAACCATATATAGAAAAATAATCTATATAGGTTCAATCGTGTCCTCATGGCAAGGTCTCTCAGGACTATCTTGGATCTGGATCAACTTCACTTCGTCCAGTTCCTGTGGAAACAAAGACATGGCATGGGAGACAAATTTCTCCACACATTGCACACACTCCTTGCTCTCCCTGTGAGGTGAGCTAGAGTTCGAATGAGCGCCACCACGTTCAAGCATTTGCCTTGGCAACAAATGGTTTAATTAAACATGTTGGAGCCCAACTACTATTCACCAGAAAAGACACTGTAACCTTCAACTTGTCAGCCTAGATGCCGCAAGTATTGGATTCGGGAATTGACAGCTTCCATGTCAATTCTCTCATCTCTCTTGGTTCCAGGGCTGGAGAGGTCACCCAGTGGAAGGGTATCAAAGGTTGATGGGTCTTCTTTTGGACTCAGTTTTGGAACAACATCATTGGGCAGCGAATCAAAACTACTGCCAGCTGCCAGAGACTCCTCATCATCATCATAATCATCTTCATCCACAAGAGCATCATCATCACAATCATCATCATCTTCAATGCCAATCTCCTCGACATTCTCTCGACGCTGTTGCTCCAGTGCCCATGCTTCCTGCTCCAATATCGACGGAAACAAGTTCACAAGAATCACAAATGAAGACCAGGTACTCAATCCTTGACCAAGGCATTAATTTTACTTTATTGTTTTTTGATCCACCAAATTTGGTTAACATAAATTGTGCTGAGTGAACTCATGTCATTTCAACACAAGAATTGCCTCTTCCTCTCGAGCAGTGTCGGGAAACCATGCTCGCAACAAAATCCACCGTAACTCCCTTGCATCTGAATCCTGAGTCAACTGCGGGGTGACCATGGACACATGCATGGACCATGCATGAAAACATTTCTGGATCAGTACCAAGTCTAGTAACTCTCGGAATCCGCTCTGCACGCATGGTCCGAAGAGCATAGCTAATGAGTTTCCTCAACCCCCAAGCATCGGCCCTCATTTGAAGTTTGGTCGGCCGCTGATCTTCGGGCAAATGAAGGGCCATAGACTTCCAGAATTGGCGCACCTGGCCAGGGAAAACTTCTTGCCTAAGTACCTTTGGTGCAGTGCAAGAATCTACCAAACTAGTCGTAGGCCTCTTCTTTCAAAGGCTCCAAAGGGGGAGTTCGTGGTGAGCCACAACTTTCATAATCAAAGATCTTCACCCAAAATTCTGCCAAGGGCCCCAACAAGTCGAAATTCAGGCTGATTGCCTTCCTGAGACGAAAGAATTGCAAAACAGGTTGCCTTTGGGCAAAGCTTAAATTACATTTCATTGGTTCATCATTTCATTGGTTGATGGATGCTGACCAGACTCATACTTGGAACTCCCGTAGCTGCCGCTGACACCCACTGGACTAGGACATGGGTGTCTCGCACCCGGGATCGAACAACGTACTTCTCTTCCCAAGCTGCCGCCAGACCATGCAACCAATGCTTGGTCTTGTTGCTAGAGCACGCCATGCCAGCAGCTTTACACACGAAATTGTCCCCTAGTGAAACTGTCACCACTTGATCCAATCCCAGCGCCAAACCATGCACACAAACAAGTTGACATTGCTGACCCAAGCAAGCATGCCTCTTTGCTATCTTAATTGAGCTGAGCCAATATATCGACTGACTTATTAAAAGCTCATATCCATCCTGCAGATCCTTGGATTCCGGACGACCATGAGCAAAGATGAAACTCTGCCTGCCGCCATGAACCTCCGACGAAGCTGAAGGAAACCCATTGCTTGGCATGCTATAGCCTGTGGGCTATAGCTGCTGAGTGTGACATTGTGAACAATCGACATGTTCTCATTATGAAGGATCGATCGACCCATTTTTCCCCATTCATCAGACCCGGTGTCTTCAAAGGTTTGCATCGCTCAGGTTGCATCTCATGTGGAGGTCGCTGAGCTTGCCTACAGAAACTGTCACCAAGAAACTGCATTGTCAGCCCAAACAATGAGAACAGCAGCAAAATAAAACCACCAATTGACTGTATGGAATCAAGTCACGCTTGAATCGTCCTTTCCTCCTGGATGCAATACACTACCAAAAAGAGTTGTGAACCGATGAACAAAATCACCAAGGTAACCCCCAAAAGTACTCCAGCTTAGTCCTTGTGCTCGGAATCGTCTCACCAAGTGAACCAAAACACCCCGGGCGTCAAAGTTCTCCATTAGCATGTCGAAGGTGGTCTGGGTAATGTCACTTCCAGCCTGAACAATCCAAGCCTACCGATACTTGAAGCAACTTTCATTCAACTCAGTTTCCTGAACAGTGCCAAGAAACTTTAGAATCCAAAACGGGAATTGTATCTTGCCAAAACTTGTTTGGCAAATCAGCCAGTCCTGCAACATTAAATTAATACGCTGAATATGTGCACAGTCCTTCAATACTCCCTTCAATATATATCATGCAGATGGAGTACATATATTAGGAAACATAAGACAAGTCCTGTCCTCGAGAAACCAACTTTGCTTTGGCATCAGAATGTGAATTCACATAATCATCCATTGGGCCAGTGGTCTCTATATATGTATGCAAGCGCGGATGTTTTTTTGAGCTTACACTGGCTTCAGGATTCATTCCTTTGAAAGAAGCTTGCACTGCAAACAATCTCACCAAAGCAAGTGCTTCAAAAACACAGATTGCATAGATATCAACTTGCCGTTCAGTGGGCCTGGGCCTGCCGCCTTGGGGCCCCGGGCTGAAGTCCAGCTTGATCCAAAGCCAAATGCACATGCGAACAACACATGTGCAAACCCAAAGGCTTTGTGAACCCTTTATGGAGTCTTCATTGACCTTTTATTTTGAGTTCTCCCCAAAAGTCAAAAAAAGGGCTATTCAAATTTCTACTATCAAAATTAGTCCTATTTATAAATAATACGTTTTTTTACCAATAGCATCAAAATAAAAGTGTCAATGGAGACTCCAGGTAACTATTATAACTACAGTACATTATTCCAGACATGGGATGGCTTGATGCCTTTCACCACGCTTCGAACTAGTGGGCATTTCATGTTGCCGTATTGGACATTGGACCAATCTCCTGGGCCCTGACAGCAGCTTGTCTTAGATTCTTCGCTACTTCTAAGCCACTCCAACACACCGTGGCCGGTCTGATCGTGGCGTAGCTGGAGAGAACTGCTCGGCCGAGGGCCTGGTCCATCTACGTGGACTCCACGTTGAAGCAGTTGAGCTCCCAGCAGGCCGAGGCCGCTGGACCTGGTCGAAGGCTTTGAAAGCCTTCGTTTTGGAAAGGGAATAGTATCTTATGGTTGATTTGAAAGACTCAACTCATGGCCCGTCTTGCAAAGAAGCAATTGGATCCTACTGGAAGATATCAGAAAAAGATGAAACAGGATGGAAAGGTGGCAGCGTTCACTCATTTCCGGGGGAAAGAAAGAGGTGGGAAAAGAAGAAACAATGCTCGAAACCATGTCCATCGTTAAAAAGATACGCTCAATTGTCAAATTTGAGTAGATGACCTGGATATTTTGACCAGGGTTGGGATACCCAATCCTCGGTGTGGTGCCCCCTTCAGGCCTCGATGGCCATTAAAAGCCAACAAGGGTTCACCCCTTGTTGGACAGAAACTCTACCGAGCCAAAGTCGTTCTTTTCAGGCGACTCGCTTGGCGGTGGAGACGTCAGAGGCTTAGGTCTTCCACAGGGTCCGGTCCTTATGGCAAGTGCTGTGACTTCCTCCCGAGGCGCCTTGGGATTTGCATGCATGCGATCCACCTGCCGCCGTAGCTGAACTCTCCCGCTGAACCCACGCGATCCACCTCGTCCTGCTGCCATGTGGTGCTGTGCCGACGCCAGTGGAACAGTGGCCGAGGAAGTTCAAGCCGTGACCGCCTTGCCCGAGGCCACGCCGGTGGTGCAGCCAGAGGCTCTTAAGCCAGCTGTGAAAGCGGAGGTCTCGGTGAAAGAGGCGAAGGTCAAGGAGTGCCACGAAACGGAGATAACGGAGATCGTTTGATTGGACACCAGTTGCATGCATTCACTCTGGTGGATACTTGCTGGTTCTTGAGGAGTTATATAGTTTCCTCATATATTAATATTGTAATATATTGTGTATATATTGTCATATGTAATATATATGTATATGTTTGGAAAAAATTAACTTCCAGGTTCCAGCCGATTGGGTTTGCTGCTTTCAAGGAGGAGCCAGCGCCAGAATTTGGGCCTTTCAGCGTGCAGATCCCCATGAAGGGCTTCAGTAGCCTGGGTCTTCTTCTGGATTTTACCAGTGACTTTGGATTGCTGAGCGGCTGAGCGCGGGGCTGTTTGCAAAATGTTCCAAGTTTCTTCAACCGAGTGTGAACTTAAAGCAAATTGAAGTCAATCCTCCATGTCAGAGATCTTGGCTCTTCCATGAAGAGCCTTTTTGTAATCGCCTTGCCCCAAATGCTTTTTGTAATCTCAATCCAGCAGGACTTGATAGAAAAGAGCACCTGGTGGGGACAGCTCGAGTCCGAAGATACGCCGGTTCCTACCAGCTCCCCAGTGTCCAGAACCAAACCAACTCCCGGAACTGCTGGTCTGGTGCTTTCGCCCCCGGTCCCCCCCCCCCCAAAACGGGTCGGACACGGGTCGGACACGGCGACCCCGCGCTCGTGGATGCGACGGAATTCCGTCGTCGAGGTGATGTGAGGCCGATGGTGAAGACGGTGGAAGTGGGCGCGGTGGAGAAGTTCAACGAGCTGAATCCCAGCCGAAGCATTCAGCTGCTGGGCGGCATCGTTTTTGAGATGGAGAGCGAGAGGGGTCTCCTCCGGGGAAAGTGATTGCAAAGATCGTGTCGTTGGTGAAAAAGGGCCTTCACAGACCCTCAAGTTCAGAATATCAGCCTTTTTATTGCTATAGAGACTAAATGTTGGCGTTTCCACTAGGGCCACTAGAGGTACAGGAAAACTCACGTAAAGTCCACACAAAAAACAGGCCGGGCGTCCTCATTCTCCTACCGGAAAGATCTCCCGACTCATTAAGATGGATTTTGGTAAGACAAGTGTCCTCTACAAATGGGTGTGGAGTGGTTTCAGTGTAGATGGCACAATCCCAAGTTCGGTGCTTTACATGGACCCCCACTAAATTAGACATCTTTAGGTTTGTGCCATCTACTCTGAAACCACTGCAGCGCAGCCTCACAGTGGAAGAGGTGTGCTGATGCAAGCTACATCAATGGCCAGAATACTGGGCACCATTGGCGATGGCCAGAAACCTCCAAGGCATAGGAATCCTAGAGGATCAATCAAGACAAGCACAATTCATTGATTGATTGGTGTCTCATGATCTCATTAATGGAATTTCCAACTCGTGTCAGGCCGTATGACGTAATCGTCGCTCTTGATGAAGCAGCCAACTCCAGCGAGATCTTTCAGAAGATGGAGGGCACGCTCTCACACACGGTGAACCTGAAGTTGGTGCGGCCCAAGAAACAACAGGTGCCAATTTCAAAGACAGAGCCTTGCTTCATGTGTTTGTTTAAGGCCGAGCAGTTCCTGTTTTCTAGAAGAGGGCCATCTTGGGTGGTGGATTGGAAGATGGGCAGCCAGACGCTTCGAACATCAACAAGCAACAAGGTCAAAAATATGTTCAACATTAGTCAGACCCTTTCCGGTTCTTCGTCAAAAGGGTCCTCCAAGAACTGAGATGAATTATACTCATAGAATCCACCAATTTCGCTGCAGTTTGACAGTTTGGTGATGTTGCTAAGGAGGGCTTGGGCTTGAAGTTGGAGTACAAGAGCACATCCCTAGGCGCCGTGATCAATGTGGTTTCCAGCTCGGGGCCTGCGGCCAAGTGGAACAGCGAGCATCCCAACGACACTTGGTTTCGGTGGCATGAGACCACGGCGACGCGCTTTTCTTTGGGCAAGCGTGAAGAACTCGAAAACCATCGAAAACCCTCGCATCCTTCGTCAAAGCATCCTTCGCCAAATCAATTTAATTAGAATGATTGTTATGTTATTCTTATTACAATATTGTTATTTGACAGAACACGTCCCGCCAAAGAGGCTAGGTCCTAATTAATTAGGTTACCGGTTACTATCAACAAATCCTGAACTCAAGAATCTCGTGCAATTGGGGTTGGGCATGTAAATGGTGAACCGATCAGATCATATCCGATAATACTCCTACAGGGTGTCCATGAGCAATGGAAGGTGGTGGCGTTGCTCCTCCAGTTTTCTTTGGGGGAGTCAGGCAACAAGAAGGGTCTTCCCGCGCCGCGGAGAAGCTGCAGTCAGACTACTAACCTTGATTAAAACTGCTCAAATGTATCCTTCATGTTCGGGAAACTGTCGCCTCCAGAGGGGCAATTGCCTCACATCCATCTCGACCACCTTCCACCGGTAGATTCCTCCCTATTCCTGCACCACCTGTCTTTCCAAACCCCTCACCCACCCATCAATGGGCCACTCCGCTTCTGCCTAAGCACGCTTTTCTCGCGCATGCGCGCGTCCGTCAGGAGGCGCTTTGCGCGGGGGATCGGATCCTGGCGGTGAATGGTCGGGAGATGGTGGGCCCTGAAATGCTGGCGCCTTGGCGCCGTCCACGCGGCCCGGAAGTCGATGCGAAGCGAGGCAGAGAGAGAGAGAGAGAGAGAGAGAGATCAGAGGCAAACGGAAGAAGATCCCTTTCTCCACGCACCCTCCATTTGGTTCAAGAGAGAACTTCCTGGAATGTTCTGAATTTTTTGCATCTCTTTGCGAGTCCGGCGGTTCGAGTCCGGCGACCATGGGTGGATGGATTTGCCATCAACTTGGCTCTCAAAGAACCTTCAGACCCCCCGTCATTAGACAATCAGAACGTCCATATATACATGTTGGGGTGAGGAAGCATTTGGAGCCTTCCCCTGGAGCGTCATCCAGGTGGGTTGAATTGTGGGATGAAACGTCATTTCGGTTTTTGGTGATGTTTACGAAGCACACTGAGCAACCAGTTGTTTCAGACTTGAACACCTGACCTGATTTGAGGGCGCGCGTGGTTTCTACAGGATTTTCATGGATTTTCAGGGATATCAAGTCACAGGACCCATCCGAAACCCGCTGATGTCGCATTTCTTGCCCGGACACCCACTGTTTTCGTGTTGAACCATGTACCATCCGAATTCTCTTTGGCACAAACCTCACATGGCGACCCGAACCTTGGACTCCTAACGGCGGACCTCTCAGGAGCAGATCAAGGCCACGAACGAGCTGATGCTCACGGTGCTCAAGTACTGATTCATGCGATTCGCTCCTCCTGGGCGTCACGTCCGTGTGGCGAAGCGTGTGTGGCGCGCTCGACCGCCGACCGTTGTGGCGCGTTCAGTCGTTGATGGCAAGGTTGAAACATATCCGGTGGCCCCTAGCGGGTGAGAATATTGGTGCCGCTCATAAACATGTGACCAGCTTATAAGCTGAAAGAGTTGATTCAGGCGCTGGAACCGTGATGCTGCTAAAGAATTCCAATCGTTTGTGGCATCTCTTCAGCCTTGGGGGGAATGTATGAAGGCCTGCCCATCGTGTGGGCGTCAAGAACTGTGTCCTTTTGGACGGGTAATCCTTTCTGGATGGTCTAACATCTCCTTATGGGAATATATGGGAGTTTACTGACTTTACTGAATGAACACTCCACATTTGTGGAATAGGCGGGGCGCAAACCAAGGAGGCACTACTCCACTGTTGGCCAATTCTCCCAACTTTTAGCCGTCCACACCTGTGGCGCCGGATGCCTACCTAATTGGATCCTGAGAAAGCATCAAATGTTTTGTTGTGCATTCCAAGTGTGACTCCGTTCCGTCACCCCCAGTAGATCATGTCATAGTATAGGTCGATCTATAGTACTCCCCAACTTGGTGCCCCAGAGTTGCCAGTTAGTTGTTTTTGTTGCTTTTTGGGGGGCGCTTGCGGCTAGAGTTGTATTTCTTGAACGCCCAACATTCTAATTGCTTAGGATGTGATGATGATGACTTTTAGACGAGAATTGCAAACCGTGTGGCGTAAATGAATAGTAGCAGAATTCCAAAAAGATCCAAGAAGCTTCCGACCATGGGCATGCGTTGGTGATTTAAAAAGATCTCGCTAAGCTACGTAAAGATTTGTAAAGTTCAATTTATGTTTATTTAAATTGATTGATTGACTAAGACTATGACTATCCATGATCTTCAACCCAAGCATGTTCAGACTGTGAGAGAGACACGTGGTCAGAAGTGTGTGACCACTTGCAACTTGTAACACTCAACTCGGTCTCACAATTTGCTACATGTTCGGCAACTTGACTCACTGGGGGCCGCTGCGGGTTGTCCGGATTCGCGATGGCGGGGCCAACTGCTTTCGCCTAGAAGGGGTCGAAGGACCCTCTCATGGCTTGGAGATGGCGCTCATGGATTTCCAAAGGTAACGCGGGTGTGGGTCAACGTGGGAGAAGCTTCTTGTGTCAAGCCAGCCATATGGGATTGTGTCGACAGTCTTTTGAGGTATTCATCGTTCACTCGTACAGAGCCGAGGCGAATGAAGTGCTTGTTGTTCATCAAGGGTTGTGATTGACCTACAGCCACATGAGACGAGTTCCCCGTGCATTCGGCAGCTAGTGGATGCAATGGATCCTTTGTTTTGCGTGCCAAAAGGGCGCCACGTGTTGTTGCGTGCGGATCACCTTGGTTGTCTTGAAGACGCGAGCAATAATCTAGGTCAGAACACAGGCTATGTGTCAATGGACAGGAGGCCAATCGCCCTTATTCTTTGAAGGTGAAGAGTGTAAATACATCATTATCACTGTGCAATGTTTCATAAATGTTCATGATCACCTCCCCCTTCGTTATACTGTTTTGTGGGATGGGAAAAGGTTGAACAGTAATTTTCTCAAAAGGCTTTTGCACACACTTCAGCGGAGGGACCCTGGTGATGTCTTGTCGCATTGGGGTAACCCACTCTCATTGCCTCCCTGGCTCTGCTGCGAGGTACGAGCCCTTCCGAAAGATCTTCGAGTACCAGAAGACTTGGCACAAGGTCAGGCTTTCATACTCTTTCTAGACTAGTTGTGTCCAGCCCGCCAGTTGGGCTCTTGAAGACATAGGAAAAACCCATAATGGAATGGTGGGAAGGTCGAGAAGTCGCAAGGATGAGGACCGTTTTGGGGATCTTGCTCCCCCCGGCACCCGGATCTCCGGAGCTCGTGATTGCGGGCCTTCGGTTTCGTCGTGCCTGGCCAGGTGGGGTTTGTGCTTCGACTTAGTCGATCGATGAATACATGTCTTCAGGACATATATATTTTATATAGTATGCACCCCCATGTTTTGTACCTAGTTCTGCCAGATAGATCCAGATGGTCCGTCGCCCTAAACTCACCCTCCTAAAGTCCCGGCCCGTGTGTGCATGGACATCTTTCTTTACAGGGGCTGTGCAGGGCTGGGGCTGGCGGCAGGCTTGATCTGAGCAATTCTGAGGCTGCACCAGTACTACTATAAGTCACAAACACGTTTAAACATTAAACCGTTTATGTTTAAACTGTTTGAACATGTTTGCAAGCTGGTCTCCAGATTGGTTTAAACGTTTAAACGGCACTCCTTGGTCAAGCTGGGACACGACCTCACGTTTAGACGCATATTGTTTAAACACATGTTTAAACCTCAGGGTTTTTGTTTAAACCGTTTGAACCTGACCTCTCACATGTTTAAGCAGTTTAAACATGGCACTGCGACATTCCTGCCGCCGCCCGACTGCTTGAAGTGGCCCATCCCCGAGCTGAATGGAGGCCACCTTGGCCGAGCTGAGCATTGATGCCCTTTGCAAGGAGGCGCTGGTGGGGGCGGGCAATGTGCTTAGCAGTGTCCTGGAAGAGAGAAAAGCCCCGCTTTGGGGTAGAGAGAACATGAACAGCTCGTGCCTTTTTTGACTGGCGGACCACACGGTCAAGCCTAGCAGAGCAGGGCCTAGCAGACAGGAACACCTTGTATCAGAGATGAGATTCCCAAGTTTCTCAGTCATGATGCCGTCTTCTGATTGTGCAATGACTAGACTAGACTTATCCCGAACAGGAGATGGACAAGACATGATCCCACCATTTATGCCGAGTGGTGTCTTGTTCAAATTTGTTGTAGGAGTCTTCCATCAGGAGGCGTAACCTCCAGGAAATTAACATGGAACATAAGAAAAGAGATCATAGTATTTGGGTAGTTTGAAACGTTTTCTTGGCCTGTGAGTTATATAGCCAATGGTAGAAGTCGGCTCGGCTCATTCCAGCGACGTTTGCAAAGTTTCAGGTGGAGCGCATGGAGCACTTTCAGGCCGCGGACCGAGCACCAGCAATGGGACTGGTGCAAGGGAAGTAGGAAGTAAGGTTCATGAGGGTAGCTGGATCCTAAGGTATCTACAGCGGGGACGTTCATTCACCTTGTCGTTGGGAAAGGCCTTGTCGTTGTAGAGGTTTCTTGAGTGAACAAAAGGAGAAATTAGGGAGTGTGTGGGGGGGGAGGCATTGGGGTCACTTTTTAACAGAGCCTCTGCTGGTGTTAATGGTTTTGTTTTTGATAATTTTTGGTGAGCTCGCGATGCAAAAGATGCAATATGAACTTGTGTCGGCATCACTTGCATTATAAATCAGTTGGGGCGCCTCGTGTTAGAAAAGAGGCTGATGCAAAATGGCTTGCACAATTTGAGCCCGAAGTCCGACTCCGAAGTTTCCAATTCAATGTGTGTGAACTTCCACTGGCTTTCGTTTCCCCCCTTCTCGGGCGAATTCCATGTTGGAAAGAGAATAGTGACCGTGGGGAGTCCTGAAATGATAAAGTGAGTCCTGCGTCACAACCCAAGACCTGGTGAATTTGAAGTCAGATGATGTAATATTTTGCCATGTCTCGTCCATTCTCCAAGTGACTCTCCCACCACAGGGGGCAACTATTTATAGATCCAGGTCCTTGCTACAGGAGACGTCCTCCCATTTCTCTCCAGATTTGCTGTGCCGCATGGTGCCCCGGGGATTCCGCAGGAGCTCTTGCAGAAGTTCCGCGCGCAAAGGCCGGTGGAACGCGCTCCAGCCTTACTCCTGGAGGGCCGCCAACTACGGGAGTTGCTTCAGCCGGTGCCGTGGACATGGGCGGAGCGGTGAGTGGACATGGGTGATTTGAGGATGGATGGATGGATGGATGGATGGATGGATAGATGGGGCATGGATTCAGCTGGATGGCGGCTTTTGTCAGATGAGGACCACCCAAAAGTGGCTTAACTGCTTTGGGAGCGGGAGAGGGGCATGCCTTTTGTTTCTTTTTCTCTTGAGTGTGGGATCCCGCGCGCTGTGTTGCGTTTGGGTTTCAGAAGTGGGACCACCTATGGTCTTCTGTGGAAATCCTTTGACTTCCTGAAGTGACATGTCGAAACCACATCGGTTTCGCTGCGAAGCCCTTAACGCCTGTAGGAATGGTCCAGGCGCAGGAGTTCATGTGATATCCTCCTGCCAATTTCCTCTATAAAATGGGGGAGGTCGACCCTCACCTGAAATTCGCACGGGGATCGTGTGATAGTGGTTTGTTTCTGTTTCGCACGCCAATGACCGTCACCTACGGTCACCTGGTCGTGGCTTTCCACGTTCGGTGACCGGTGACCCTGTTCGGGTGACCAGCTCCGACCGTCTCGCCGTACGCTTGACGGTGCCTGGGCTCGAACGAAGGAACCCTGCACGTATCAGTCGGACCAGCTGGAACTGCCACGCAGTCGTTTGCAGTTCCAGGGATCGAATCGAGTTCCAGGGATCTTCAGATTTTTGAATGAGGCTATACCATCTGATTCAGCTCATGAGCTGGTGGGGACCCTGGCAACTTTCGGCACGCCTTGAGCCGAAGCTACCCTCTTGGGTGGTAGGGGTTTGAACCCCCTGGCCAACTGCTGCTGTACTGCAACGACCTGCTCAGTTTCAATATCGGGATGTAAAGCCTGTTGATGCTCAGGGCGGAGCCTCTTCCATACTACCCCAAAATCATCGGCCCCAGCGGCGCACATGGGAGCGCAGCATGGCCTACATGGCCTCCCCGCCCCAGTCGCCGAACTGGCCCGGGCGCCCGGCCGGATCCAGTTCCGAGAGTGGTCTTAGCATGTCTTAGCAGTTTTCTCAGAAACTGTAAGACCCATAGAGGCAAGATGGGCATCTTGATGTACTTGGATTTTCCAGGACCCCCTAAAATCCTAAAAGCAACCACCTTGCAGGTCCGTCCTATGTATTCATGTCCTGCTCTCACAAGCAGCATCCTTTTGACCGGTCTCCATTTCCTGGAGTGCATGGATTCCTTGTTTCGACATGTTTCAACTCTTCAACGGCAGAGTTGCGATGGTGTGCAATGGTCCGATGGTTGTAAAGGTTGGGTTTCTCTTCTTGAAGACACATCATCGAAGAGGGACCCAGCTTGTAGTGCCATAGGAACTCAGTTGTTGTTTGTGCCCTTTGCTTGCTAGCTGGGAGATACTGGGAGTGTGCTTATAAGGCAACTACCCCAAGCCAATCGTCCCCATCAAAACCCCACGTGGTGACCCAACGAGCCAGCTTCTCAAGGAGCGTACAAAAAAGCTGCGGAACAGCCACCTGACCTGTTCTCCCACGAAAAAACGGACCAACGTGCTGCCGACCTCCCCCCAGCACCACAGACCGCGTCGACCGCGACCTCACCGGTCGCGGCCCGGACGCCCGAGGATCGAGGAAGTCGATTTGGTTCAGACCGCCAGCGCTGTGAAGGTGCGACGAAGAACGACCCAAGCGATGGGGACGGACAATTCGGTTCGGCTTCTTCATCGGTGGTGGTGATGAGAAGTGTGCAGGTGACCGGGGTCTTATTGAAGATGATATATATATATATATATACATACCTAGTATATATAGATAGAATGTGTATAAAATAATCATGCAGTGACAAATGCACTATAGTCAGTGATCCTGGTATAATCATAATTTATCATAATCTGATTGTCTTGGATTCATTAAGCATTTTTCCTTAGGCTGCATGAGGTCCTGTAGCTAGGTGCAACGCAACAAACATGAAAGCTCAAACCCCTCTCATTAATTAAGCTCGAATTTCCAAATCCAGACCTGGAGCAGCTCGGGATTAAATAGTTGAGGTACCCTGGATTCAACAAAATAACTAATCCAGGGTAGGGGGTAGATGACCGCCTCTTGGTCTAAGGTAGGGGGTATAGGCTATACCCGGTATAGCTTGAAGTTTTGTCCCACTAAGGATGAGAGAGTTTTTCGTTTCAGCTACTGGTGGCTCTTCCACCCTTGTCCACCCTTAGGCCGGCTCCTTTGGTTTGCACGGCGTGTCAGGAGCAGTTTCAGCTCTTCGATGATCAGGCCACTGGCACCATCGCAGCTCGGAGCACCACGTGGGACTCCCGTGGTCTTTTAGGCGGTTGGAGTCGGTGACGATGTACGGAAGTTGGAAGCTGAAATGATACCTCCTTAAAGGCCTTGGCTCCAAATGCTCAAATTCCGGGGGATGTCACAGATTTAGGTCATTTGAGCTGAAACTATCTCATGCGAACAGATGAACGGTCCTCCAAAGCATGTTGGGAGTCGCGGCATGTGGGGAATTGCCAATTGCTTCCATATATCAATTCATATCAATTCGATTCTATTCTATGCCGTGTTTGTTGTTGGTTGATTCTCCTTGTCCCTGCTGGCCCACGTCCAAGTTGAAGAATTTGCAGTCATTCTCAGGTAGGTTGAAAGGTGACGGTGACCATGATGTGGATGGCAGTTGATGGCTCTTGATGCTGACAATCCTCAATCTCAAACATGGTGACCTCAACCCTATCCGCAAACGACCACGACTTGGCCTTTATCACGACCACGACCGGTCTAGATCGACTGTAACCGGTCTCAGTTGATGTCTTACGCCACCGGCCTCAGGGAAAGGATGACCTCCGCCGGGTCATCGAGAGCCTCGAACAGTTCGCGCCCGAGGAGATCGACAGGAGCCGAGCGAACGGCGAGGGGTCGCGGTGGTGACTGGCGGGACACCGTTTTGATCGTTCATAAGACATCACAAGGTCATGGAACTAAGGTCTGTAGAAGGAATGCAGGGACTCCCAGAATGCAAGAATGGCCCAAAGTGACAGGCAAGAGAGGCTGAGGGTTGTAAGTTTGGGCAGTGAATGAATTCTATGTGGACCGCAGCTCGGCTGAGCCCCTTGAACGAGCTATAGCCCCCTCCACACAACCTTTCGACAATGCCACAAGACAATTGTGAAACATTTGATGTGACCTGGACCTGGACAGTATTGCTTTTGTCCGAGAGATGTCATCGACTCATGTTGGTGCAAAACAAGTTCCACTGTTGCGTTGCATGCTTTGCAAGTTGCAATTTCTGCAGGAGGGAGACCATTGATATCCATTGACATCCATTGACCCTGACTGACTCAGAACGTCAGCATGATGTTTAAAGTTCACTGTGCGGTTTCAGCTCCCGTTTGCGAGCTGAAACCGTTGGAGACGCCAGCGACCAGTGACCGTCGAAACACGTTGGGGACACCAGACTTTGTTGGGCGAACCGGTACTCTGAGAGATTCATGTGGAGACCCACTCTGAGTGTCAGAAACATTGAGTTGATGGTAGATGAACAGTTGCCATCATGTTCTTACATCTATATTTGTTTAGATCTATATAGAGCTTTGATTTCCCTGAGGTTAAATAATGTTGTCCCAGTTAGCAGCATATACTGATCCCCGATAGCTATTTGTTGAGCTATTTGGTAATTACACCGCATTTCAAGCAAATCGGCACTTTTGAAGCATTCCTCGTCAATACAACCGCAACAAGGTTTGACAAGTGGAGTCAAACGTGCTTCTTCTTTCCCGGGCAGCGGAGGATTCTCAAGGTGGCCAACACCAGCGGCGGGGATATTTCCTACGAGACATTCATCGATTGGGCCTTCAACAGCGCAAAGGCCAGAATGGAATGTTTCGATTCTAGAGCAGAGGAGGGGTAGGGGGGGAGAATCATTGATCTAGAATTCCCTGGAGAAAGAACATTCAAAGACTAGACTCCATCACAACTGAGACAAGATAGACAAATAATGGCATAGGAATCAATAGAACAAGAAACGAACAACTTGTTGGAACACCAGACAGACAAGGATCGTCCCAGTCCCATGAGGATCCTGGCCGTTTGCCGAAGGGATGAAGAAGTGGAAGTATAGCATCACGGCCGAACGGCCGATGCCGGGGCAAACGAGCGGCATTGGGTTGCTGGGCTTCCCCAACAAATGGTTGCCTAGAAAGACCCCAGTGAGAGCATCATAGCATATCATAGCCAAAACTCCTTCCACAAACACCCCATAAAGAACCCCAGCAACCCCGAAAGTTGTGGGTCAATACCTGTTCCATTGCATATCTTTGCATTCTCATTTCGGGACCCTCCAGTCCAAGCAGCCCTTCCAAAACACGAAGAACAACAACCCAAACAGCCACACCGCCCTTCCACACACCCTTCGTTCTCCTTCTCCGGGTTGGACGGACGGAGACGGACTGCGCCCGCGCGCCAGAGGCCTTGGAGCATCGGAAGAACCGACTGCGACAGGTGAAGCTCTTTCAGCGCCTCGGAGGGCACGATCATCGCGCGACGCGACGGCGGTTCGGGTGACTCCGGGCATGGCATCAGAGCGTGCGCTGTGAACCAGGCGTCCATGAACCAGGCAATACTCCTGAAGCCGGAAGAGCTGACTTAAGATCAGAGCGCTTCCGGGGACTCCGGGGTAGCACCAGAGATCTCTTTCTGACCCTTGGCGAGATCTCTTTCCCGGTCATTCGGACCGCCATCATGGTGGACCCAAGATTTTCCTACGTCCTCATGCTTACGTAGACCGTCCTCTTCCCCTGGAAAGACCAGACAAAGTCTAAAGACCAAAACGGGGGGTCAACTCCAGGCTCCATGGAACGCGAGTCGGTGATGTTATTTGTTCCTCGGTTCTAAAACCCTTTTTGGGTGTTTGATCAGATACCCGGCAGGTCTGGGACATGTGTCAATGGCCTTTCTATCCTGGTCTCAAGATGGGTGTCCGGAATGGTTTTGCTGTTGGATGTGGTGCAGGAGGAATAAGAGATTTGTCATTTCCATGAAATTTGTGAGTCAGTGTTTCTATGGAGGCCAACACCATTTGAAACCTTTATTGGAATTTGCTTCTATTTGACTGAGATGATTTGAGATATACCATGCCATTTGGAATTTTTCCAGGGGGTACCGTGAGTTGCTGGAATAATTATTTGAGGGAGGGAGGGGGGGGGGAGTACCTGGAATATTTTTTTGGAATGATCTAAAGTGGAAAGATTCAGAAATATGTTCCCTCCGGTATGATGGGATATGAAATGAAAGGAAAGGAATGGAGATGAAGTTCTGTGTTCATAAACAATTTCAGAAGACATATATTTGCTCGCATTCGCTTGCATCTGGAGTTGAACATGAGCTGTCCTTTTTTTTTGTGTAATGGTAGAATTGAAAAGAGTTGAGCTGACTTCAGAGTTAGCGTGGATCAGACAACGTGTATTTTAAAGTTCATCATCAGTATTGCTAAGACTTATTCCAAATGTCAATTGAGGTCAGGAATAATGTTTGGAATCTACCTCAGAGTATATGACAGATTACTGTAATTTCTAATTATTCCTGACTACATTGAGGGGAGGGACCCCACATGGCTCCTTTTTTGGGAATGGCTATTTGTCCATCAACCGCCTCTCGGGCGGAGCCTTAGTCACAAGACAAGGCATTGCCAGGGTAGAGGAACGTAGACTCTTGATACCTCTTGATTAATACACCCCCAAGCTTGAAGAGGAGTGCGTGCATCCAAATGGGGGGCTTATCAATCGAGAAGTTTTATGAAGCATCCGATTCAGGGCTCAGGGCTGCATCTGACTCAGGGCTCGTGTCGGCTCGTGAGTCATCAAGGCCATCCGGGTCATCAAGGACAAACGTTGAAATCCGATGAACGCACTTTTTCTGACTCAGGCACTAATTGCCGGCTGATTGAGTCCCACTGTCCCCCTTGGCAAACTGTGCCCGTTTCCCTCGCCCAGGAACTTCGCATGCCTGGCATGTTTTGGATGCACGAGGGTGGGAGGGACTGAACATGACTGAACTGGATGTTGGGAGGGCTTTGCAGGTGATCGAGGTCCCGGAACGCGAACAGAACTTGCGAACTGGAGATTCTTCAGGGCCTTCATGGTAGCTGTTGGTATTGGAATGGCCTACAATCTCCAAACAGAATTCTCATGCTTCTCATGGTTGCATGTACTGTAGGAGGTTGGAGCACGGTGTGGCACCAGTTTCCACTACGCATGGTATCCCCATTCGATGGTGATCTATAATTATGTGGCAGTGGTGCAACTGGAGTGCCATTACTTGCTAACAAGACTAAAGCTGAAGGGTTATGCTGACGGAGGGTCCAAAGAAATTCTGGATCTCATTGCTTGGTCATCACTTGATGCCGCAGCTGATGGGCTCATGTCCATCAGCCCATAGCTACCGACCACTGCCCGACGAAGCGTCCCCTTCACCCGGCTGCGTTTGGCCGGCGGCTCGGAAGGACCCGGTGAAATATGGGGAGGAACGGAGGAACAAGTTCCAATGGTGGGGTCTTTATTGTTTGCCCATGAGCCCATGCATTTTGTGGTGTGGATTTTTGGGACAGGGTCGCACCGTGATTCCTTTCTCAGGCAAATGTGGAGGATTCCGGGGTCCATAAGTGCGTTCGCGTGGCTTTTCGGGAGGGTGGATTCTAGGTTCGCTCATGGCACCAGGCCAATGTTCTTCGCGCAGTGGTTCGGTACTTGGATCATACTCTACAACAGTCACTCTTCCCGAAATATAAACAACTGGAGCTTCATCTTTGATCCGACTAGGATTCCATAAAAGCTTGGTAGGAGGCATTGCTTCTCGTCCTATTCTCCCCAACCCTGCTCAACTGCTTCAAGTCGTGCAAGACTACGCATCCTTGCCAAACCAATGTTATCCACATCATGTTCGTCTTGAAACACCTTTCCTTGCTAATTAGGATGAATTGCTCGAAGCTATTAAAATCCCGTTTAAAAAATACGTGGCCTCTATCAACGGACTAAAAAATGCCTCCGCAATAAGACTTCGTTCGCAAAAACATCTTGATCACAGACTGAGTGGGCTCTGCTAATTCACAATTCATTGTGTCAGTCACATAGGTTATAGACACTAGGTGATGGTTTCGGATATTTTTATTTTCAACCCTTAATTGGGGATGATTGGACCCTCTGACTAATACTTTTTTTGGTGGGTTGAAAACACCAACCAGGACAGCTTTTGTACTGTATAAAGGTAGTCGTGAATTAGTTGTGCTGTTTTCGTCATGTGGATATGTTTCTACCTTCTAGCACCCCACATATGTGGAAGGGCTTAGAGGGGCGAGCCGTCAGACAGTTCGCAAGTGAGTGTGGAAGGGTCGATTCTTATAAATATGCTGACCGCTGCATGTGTGTGTCAGCCACAGACAACGCTTTGGCACTCGTAGCTACAGATTCCTGATTACTTAGTTGATTGATTTGGACGGGGTCGTGACCCGTTGAGACATTAGCAGTTGCTAGGCTTGGCCGACTGTGGTGGGCACCTTGAGGCACCTAGGCCGTCCTTGGTGTTCATTGGAACGTCACACACGCACCAGCGGTACAACAAACAACGAGGCTGGCTTGTAGGCAGGCAACCGGAAGACCAGAAGGGTCATGATTGATTGGACTTCTTCTCACAACAACTTGTATCGCGCCTTGTTGGGGATTGCTACGATGCCAAATGGTAGCCGTATCACCAACCGACTTCGACCTGCAAAAGCGATCCTCGGAGCCCCAAGGAAATCATCCGGACGGCATCGCGGCCGATGGCCTTGGCTCTCTTGGTCCTCGTTTGGCACCTGGCATGGGCACAAGAACCCGGCTGTGCTGAGAAGGATGAGCAGAGCTTCCTGCAAACCTTGGACATCTTGGATCACGTGGAAGAAGAAGCTTGTGACCTATTGCATCCCAAGAAGGGTTTGAGATGGACACACTCCAAGCAGACACTTGCAACGTTTCAGGATTGTTTCTTTTGGATGATGGATGTTTTGTTGTTTTTGATTTTGGTGCGTTTAACACAGCTTCTAGATGTTTGATTTTTTGCAGAATCTATATAGAGCAAGTTGCTGTGACACTGTGAGACCCAGGATTGGAAGCCATACCGTGTATGCCGGCAACCTGACCGTTCCGCTGAGTCCACATCGAGAAGACCAGGATCCTGATAGGAACAATCGACACATATCGAAACATTATCAATAGTTATCTATATATTTATACCAGGACCCACATGGGGTGGTTAATGGACACCCCTTAGCATCTCAGGGGCTTAGGGTGTCCTGGTACATTATAATTTACAGAACCTAATTAATCGCAAAGGACTGTTGCGGGCTGCGGATTTTGGACCCCTTCATTGAGTTGCATAAGTCTTGAAAAAAGTGCCATCTAATTAGCCCATGATGTTTCCAGCAGATCAGATTCCTAAAGATGGGTCTTAAACCATCTTTACTACTGCCTGCCAGAATCACGACGTGCAAGCATAGGATATCAGCGCGCAGCTTCAGGTGTGCAAACAGTTCACTTTCCACAGACAGATATGGACACGTGCAACGATCGGGTTTTCAGTGTCCAGTGTATCTTCCATTTCTTGAATGCTTAGTTTGTCGTCCGCATGGGGGACAGCATGGGGTTTGTTTGGTGAACCGCCCCATCCAAGGCCCACCAAGGTCCCGAAACCATGAAACAAACACGTCATCCAACTGTTTCAGCGGATGCACCTAGGGTGTATTCCACTACCAGGAACAATTGGCAATTGGTGAAAAGACGGTCACACAGTTACGTGAAAGGTTGGCAACCTAACCATCATCATCATCATCATCATCATCATCATCATCATCACCCGCTGTGCCCTGGGATCTATGACATGATATACGTAACCAAGATGTGCGGCATCGTTTGCCTTTTCATGGCTTGAGATCAGTTCCCACTCCGACCGGACCCTTTTTTCGATGACCGGAGGAGGACCGGCGGAGAACACGGGCGACCGCGTGTCCGATCGTTCGAATATGTTGAATTTCGTGAGCCCTGGGGATTGGCTGGAAATAAGTGTTGTGAAAGTCCGGGCCTCTAGATAAATAACATGATTTATCAAACATGCAATCAAGAATTCAGAGCACTTTTCTTTTCAACACTCACGGTGTGGCTCTGGCTCTTATTGTGTCTTTCACCCAGGTGACAGCGGTCGGTGAGCATTGCTCGGGGTCTTCCAACCTTTGGTCAGGACCACTACCAACAAAAACAGTCAGCCTTGGTGCCCCATCTTCAACTCAACAGTGTGAATTCTTCAACTTCAACCTAACCTGGCGACATACTATTCCATATACAACCCCAGCATCCAGACTCATCCCCAAAGACTGGACTCACACCACAAAGCCAGAAAATCTAAGGTGAAACTATTTTTGTCCATTTTCTAGGGCTGACCAAGTCCAATGACATGAACTTGGCGCAAGGATGACCTATGGACAAAAATCCACACTGCTAGGGGTAGGCTTGCGATGAATGCCTGCAGTGCCCCCGCAAAAAGGGTCACATGTTTTGCAACAATAAGGAGACCCTTGTTTAGTAGGTTTTCGTGCCACAGTTGCCTCACGCAGCGTTCCGCATCAGTTCACCGTCTCTTCTTGTCACTGCATGTGGAAGTTGTTTTTGAGGGGGGTGGGGGCTAGGGGACAGGAAAAAACATGTCACTCTTAAAAAGTTGTTTTTGAGGGGGGGAGGTAGGGGTTAGGATTTAATTTACAGGTCATTGCACGCTGTCCTGTATTTGCTTGGCTTATTGTGTTGTTTTTTTGAGGGGTTAGCCACATTGGATAAAGAATACCACTCAGAAACTATTCCAGTGCGAGGGCCCCCCCTTTGGTGTCCACAGTGGGATGGTAGCTGAATGAGGTAAATTCTAGGCTGCTAGCTACGTGCAAATCCACGTCGAGGAGGACACGCCCTACTTGGACCTTTTGGTGATCATGACGATGCCCACCAGCGAATCGGCCGCTTCCGTGGAGCCCTTGCTGTTTCACTGCGGAGGTCCTGGAAGTGATGCCACCTGTGCCTTGAGCCCCTTGGACACACCTGAGCCTGGGCGTCATTGGGCCATTGGGAGCCGATGAAATATAAAGAACAACAGATTTGGATTCATGTCAAGCTGGCAAATCGGAGATGTATAGTTCAATCCCTATAGAACTGTCGAGCAGGCCAGGCCAGCTATAGAATTTACAAAAAATATCAAAAAAATCATAAGTCAGGTTATGCAGGACATGCACGGAGTCCTACCAGAGGAGGCTTTGGTTCAACCAACCAAGTTCGCAAACATCACTTCCTGTGCATGGGCCTCATCATGCCTCATCATTATTTTCCTCCGAATGTCGAAGAAGTTGACGTAGACCGGCAAAAAAAGACGTTTTTGAGATTGATTGAGGCAGGATTGAATGGCACATGCGCACGAGAATAGCCCCATCCGCTACAACCCTTGAGGGGCAGCATTGAAATGGATCCCGAAACCAACTTCCAAAAGGTGTTGATACATGAAGTTCCTTTTTGCTGAAAAGAGCCCTCTTTTGATGCCATCAAGACACCCCCAGGGTCCACGTCGGACATGGAAGTCTCCAAGGTTTCATGAAGGACCAGCAGTTCAATGCCTATGCTGGTATTTCCATCTCCCAACGTGGCATCGGCTACACCGCCATGCCAAGCTTTGAGTGTGCCAAAGAGCACATGAAACTGCCTCCTAAGGCCCTGGGAGGACATTGGTCCATGGCTAGGCGTTTGTGACCGATGGGAGCACCTCTTGTAGTTGTTCTTTCCCATTGGGTGAATTCTGATTCTGGCAAATGTTCTTTTCGGTCTTTTCCTGAATATAACAATGTGTAGTTGCGTTTTCAGTTGAGATGCCAGCTTGGGCCAGTGATTGGGGTTCGTGAGGGTAATTGGTAAACGACCTGGTAGTTCGCTGTCCCA